CCGAGCCCCGTAAGCCAACTCCCTTGTCTGGTGGGATCCAGGGAGGATCCCGGAACCACGATTATAAGTATTACTATTACGATTTTTATTCTTATTATTACTATTATTCTTACGATTATTATTATCAGTATTTCTATTATGACTATTATCATTACTACTATGATTACTCTTATTACTAAGGCTTCCTTCCCTTCCTATCTCACCCAAGCTTCACAGTACTGTTCGCAGGCGCTTCCGAGCGTCGCTCCCCCTGAGCTCCCGGGCCGAGGCTTCGGAGGCCGATGGGCTCAGCCTTCGGAGAGGGCTCGAAATGCACTGCTACAGGGAGAAGGCGGGTTTAGGGGTCTAGGGGTTTAGGGTTTAGGGGTTTAGGGGTTTAGGGGTTTAGGGTTTAGGGGCTTAGGGGTTTAGGGTTTAGGGTTTAGGGGTTTAGGGGTTTAGGGGTTTAGGGTTTAGGGGCTTAGGGGTTTAGGGTTTAGGGTTTAGGGGTTTAGGGGTTTAGGGGTTTAGGGTTTAGGGGTTTAGGGGTTTAGGGTTTAGGGTTTAGGGGTTTAGGGGTTTAGGGGTTTAGGGGTTTAGGGGTCTAGGGGTTTAGGGAAGGCGTTGGGGGTTTTGGGTTTAGGGGGTGGAAGGAGGGGATGGCCCCTGCTTTGCCCGCAAGAGGGTTGTAAGTTTGGAGCTGACGGTCTGGGGTCTGGGCAAAGCTGAGTTTGGGCTTGTGGCTTCAGGTTTGAGAGAGCCTCCCCGCAACCTCCCACAAACTTCCCAACTCAACACACAACGCCACCAACACCCCCCAAACCCCCCATTTTGCAGCCCAGAAGCCCCGCATTGAACCTCGAACCCATAAACTCTGCACACCCCCTGCCATTGCACCCTCAAGCTGCTGAGCGCCCTACGACATCCTCGAACTGGACCATGCTCGCCCCAAGCGGCGGGAAGCTTCTCGTTTGGCTCAAGGCTCCACAGAGATCCCGTACCCAGTCTTGAAGTGTCGGGTTGATGCTTGAGTGACAGATGTAGGTGCCTTTGAGATGGCTCCTTAAACTCGCCAAACCTGAACCTTCAAATCCTCAACCCTGAACCTCAAGATCCGAACCCTGCACACCCAACACCCAAAGCTTAAGCTTCCCAGTCCTAAAGCAAAAGCTCATGCGCTTTTGGGTGAACTCTGTAGTCCTTGAGCCAGCGCGGTACAGTATCGGTCAGAGCCCTGGGAACACAGTAGTGGGTCTAGGTCTCTGGCTCTTTCTGGAGCGGGGCTTTTGGGCTCTAGTATTCGTCGTGCTCTCACAAGCAGACAGGCTCGCTTCTGCTCGGTCACCGAAGTGCAGATTTCGGGTTTTGTGTTTAGGGTGTAGGGATCAGGGCTTTAGGATCATGTTAAAAAGATTCTGTGGTCAGAATTTGTTGCTCCAAATTGTGTAGGCCCAGTGTAGGGTCTGCTACGACGGAAGGGAGGCCTTTGTTCCCCACCCGGTCGATTGAGTCGAGGCAGGTCAGTAAAGCTGTGGCGTCCTTCTGAAAGCCTCTCGTGCCAGGAAGCAACATGAAACCATCCAATGTCAAAAGCAACACTCACGACCTCATCAATATCAAGATGACACAAACGAATTTACCAACACCAGCTCGGGACTCGGGAGACCCCCAGAAGAACCTCCGCAGCTCAGGCGGCGCGTCACCGCTTGGAGAAGTGCGACCAAACGCGCGAAGCCAGCGGAGTCACTGCCACGGTCACGGGCACCCGCAAGGGCATGATGGCCTGCGAGGCGCATTGGGGATCTGAGGCTTTGAATTGGAGTCACAGGGCCGGGCTCGGATCCATATCGCCAGCCTTGTGAATCACAAAGGCCATGAAGAGGCTGCTTCCCGCACTCAAGGCGTCTGTCCCAGAATCATTGGTGTCCTGCATCTAAGCCATAGTCCCCGACCAGCTCCAACATTCAAGCCCCGCCCCAAAGCTTCAACATTCCCAGAGCCCCAAACCCGCCCCACTCCTGGGCCCGATGTTCTGCTTAGTTTGGGAGGTGATACTCAGACACGTGGGCAGGTGCTCAAAGGAACGTACGCGGAACGAGAAACATGTCAGAAACCAACAACAACACCAGGAAGCTGCCAAGACCAAGCCCCAAACATCCCAAAGGGACAGAGGAGGGACCCTTAACCCTCGAGCCCTGAAACCCCGTAAGGGTCCGGTGTCTTGCCGACGAACTCCAGCAGCCGATCCATGGGGAGCTGATGTCGCACAGCCAGGTAGCAGGAGAAGATGGAGATCCTGAGTCGGCGCCCAGTGCAAGCAGGCCAGCGAGTGTTCATCGGATCTTTTTCGAGTGAGCTATTTGAAACTTCGGGGTTCCTGGGCAGGGCAGGTGCCAAGTCGCCAAGGGCCTGATGTTCACAAAGCTTTCGGGTTTAGGGTTTGTGTACCACTTCCGTTTGGGGATGTTGCTAGGCAAATTTCGGCGTGCGGATTCTGCCTCTTCACGAAAGCCTAAAGCCCGAGCTCCTAGATCCGAAAAGCCTCCACTTGACAGAACTTGGGACGAATCTTCGACCAGAGGGCTGAGCCTTAAGTGGAACCATCGAAGCCGGAAACCCTGAAGCCTCCAAGAGGCCCTTGTCATATTCACTCATAGCTGAGACCCAAAGCGATGTTCCAAAGTCCCAGAGGTCCAGGGCGCAACCACACACAGCAACACACCAGGAAAGACCCGATCAAATCCACGATTTAGCCGAAAGCAACCTTCTGGGCCGCACGATGCGCAACGCCGACTGCAACATCCCGCACACTCGGCAATCTCTCCTAATTCGCCCAAAGCATGACTCACAGCTGGGGCACTTTCCGACTGAACAAATAGCGATCTTCGATAAACGTTGAAGTCGTTGAAACTCACCGATAAAATCGCAGCAGCAGCCTTCAAATTTGTTTACAAGTTAGCTGCCTGCATACGTTTAGAAAGTGTATGAGATCATGCGACGCATATCGCGCATGTGCAAGAGTAAGAGGATCAGAAGAAGGCTCAGCGCTGGGACGCCTTGACCACATCCTTGAAGTCCATCAATGCCTGGTAAGCTGCCTTGGCATCCGCCGCATTTACCTTGGACATCATGTAAGGGCCCACATCCTTGCCAAGGTTGAACTTGGCAAAAGCATTGTACACGTCCATGGTCTGGGATGCAGGCACCGAAGCGATCATATGCCCGATGGCCGCATTAATGGCAGTGTAATCGGCAAGAGTCGCGACACCCTTGGAGTCCATGTTGGCAATGGCCTGGCTGTGAGCCATAGCACCCGATTTCAGAGCTGCGGAGTCCATGGATGCACCCATCTTCAACATAGTGTTGATCGCCTTGAGCACCTCCAGAGGAGGCTGGGTGGGGAGCTTGCCATAGACGTCGGAGGTCCAGTCGATTTCTTTCAAGAAGGGGTAAGACTTCTCAGACAGCACCTTTGCTGCGTCGTCGATCTTGTCCGCGAAAGCAGGCGCTGCGCCCAGCATGCCCAGTGCTCCTGCAGCTGCGGGCGCCATGCTGCGAGCTGGGCGAGCAGGCCCCGGCACGAAGGCCGGGAGGCTGCAGAAGCAAACTGCCACGGCCAAGGTCGAAATCACGCGGACAGCCTTCGCCATAGCTTGCCGTCTGTGGTCCCTCAACCTGCTCTCGGTCGCTGAATGCCTCGGATCTCGAGCCTAAAAGCCAGTGCGGCCCATTGTCCTGAGCAGCCAGGCTGAAGGCAGGCACCCTTCTCCTCGATGCCAAAGCCCGAAACACCCAAAGAAAAGCAAAAACTAACATGAGCTGCTGAGGAGGATCCCAGAGAGGAAGAAGTGAACCACGAGGCCCACCTGCTCCAAGCTTTGGGTCATTACTTGTGAAACGTGCACGAAGGGTGCTCGGGTTGTAGCTTTTGGGCCTTGGGGCTTCGGATAGGGTCCGGGCGACAAGATTCCGTTCCCTACCCGCAAAACTACGCACCCGGGCCTGTCCATACCGCAAAAGCGTGTCCTGCAGTCGTTGGGACACGCGCCCGGCGCTGCCATTGCGCCCAGCGGGCAGCGGCATGTCGACGTGAGGCTCAGCAGAAAAAATGCTTTCACTTTCACCGTATTTACACTCGAGGCTCGAGGACTCAAGGACTCTAAGCCCAAAACCTGGGTTGAACTGCCGCCTACGAATTGCAACACTGGACCATGTGTCTCAACCATTGTGGCTCTGATGCCTTGTTTTACTGCAGACGTCGCACCTGACCAAGAGCACGGAGAGATTCACAACTTGATGGTTCAAGTGCTCTCTTGCGACAGCCCGACACTACGAAAATCCTTCCACCAAAACCCCTCCACTTCGCAACATCGACTCCAACCTCGAAGCGCACAGCTCTTGAGTCACGCCTTTTCCGCCTTTACTTTTGAGGTGGAGCCTCGAACTCTCGCGTTTGTACAAGCGGCGGCGGTGTTGAACTTGAGGGATGAAAGTTGCCCATGGCAAAGGCGCAATGCTGGCCAAGACGACTACTAGAGAGCCTGCAGCCTGTGAAGGGCTTGGACGGGGAACTGGGGGCGAAGTAGCCGGATCCGTTCCTGAGCGCGAAGTGCTCTGCGTAGGAGCTTCGACGCATTGTCACAGAGACCCCACACCAGGTGGTCCCATGTCCAGTCGCACATGCCCAAGACTCGCCACAGGGTCTTCTCTCTTCCCAAGCCGGATGCCTGCAGAGCCAGTGGACGCTGGAACAATCTCTTTGCCGTGGGTCCGTGAGGGCAGAATCCGATACCGTGGTGGGAGTCCCACCGAATTCTGACAGCTTCACGCAGGCATCAAACCTTGGTAGTCTTGTGTTTTGTGCTTCAGGAATGCTTCTTCAAGACTCTCAAAGCGCTGCTTAGAGTAATGGCCCTAGGAACAAACACTGTTCTGATCTCTACACCCTCTTCCGATCCTCACCAAGAAGCACCATCAGGTCGGCTCGCTGCCACATGCTGCGAAGGCCCCGCACCCGGCCGCTATGACACTCGGAGGCCGTCGCTTGCCTCCTCCACCTGCTGTTCGGACACGTATCTCGAGAGAAGGGTTGGAGACATTGCCTTTCTGACAGCTGACATGCTGCAGTCGAAGGCGAGAGTCCGGCGAGATACGACCATGCCAACGACAATGCGACAACTTTACGGACTGGACTGCTCAGCCCAACCCCCTAATCCTGAATCTCGACATCCTGATGGAAACCATTTAACCTCCGACACGTCGGAAGTCTTTGCCGCGTCACCAGCTTCGCCGGCTCCAGGCTGGCATCCAGCACCCGCAGGGGCTTGCCGGCTTCGGAACCTCAGAAGTGCTCCAAAATTTGGGGCTGGGAAAGTGGAGAGAAGATGCAAGGAGGTTCAAGGTTGCATCCAGTTTCATCGTCGAAGACGGGGGCGGCTGTAGCAAGAGAATTCGCCATAGAGGCAGCTGCTGCAGCAGCAGCAGCAGCAGCAGCAGCACTCGTCGCATCGTCGTCGTCGTCGTCGTCGTCCGATTCCAAGTCGTATATAGCCACCTCGCGGATTACACGCCGACCTGGTTGTTTCCTGCATGTCGTAAACAAGCACAGAAGTCTCGGGCGGCATGTGAATTCTGAAGTCTGTTTCAAAGTCGCAGCCTTCGGCAAAGACATTCGGGATCCGTCGGGCTTCATGCTGCAAGGCTTACAAATTAAGCTCGAAAGATCACGATTCAGAGCTGAGGATCAGGACAATCACAGCCTACAATACGCAGGTGAGAGGGGGGGAACTGCTCCACCATCAGGACAACCCCGCTGTTACTTTCTTCGGGAACGCAGTTGAAGCCAGGCAGCAAAACTTCTCAAGCGACGTCAAAGCAGGCTGTCCATACCTTGCACGGGTAGCTTAAATCCTATGAGAAAGCACACTCTCACTGTCTCAGACCTTGTTTACTCCTGCGGCCCCGCTGCTGGAGGAAGGATGGCCACACGAACTTGTCAATGTAGTCCTCATGCATCGAGTGAAGTGCAGCTGCTTCGCTTGAGTAAGGGCCGTGTCACCATCGCAATCCGACTCTCATCGACATGCCAGAAACAATGGAAGAAACAACTGGAGCAGATTTCATGTAGCATGCAGTCCAGAGTCATGATGACACTTCATGAGCAAAAGCTAGCAATAAGGGGACCCAAGGCAGCAAGAAATAGAATGCGCCTGCTCGCGCACACAACTGAAAAACAGCTCCCAAAGTGCGCTTCCCCGACGCCTGGCAATAGCCCTCACTGATGGTCTTCCCGGATGGTAACCTATTCTACGTCCATATCCCTAGAAGTCCCCGAAACTTCGCCAAACTCCCAAGGCCCACCATCTAAATTCTTGATGCCTAAACCCTGTTGCCCTGGCATTCCAAGCATTGGACGCGCGAACATCAAACATTCCCAGACCAGCAACTCCATGACGGAACACCCGAAACCCCAGACTGCGACATCCCAAATCGTTCAACCCAGCCGGAACAAGACTTCACGTTCAAATGCCTTATCCAACCCCCAACGACCCCGGAAAAAACACACCCCAAAAAAAGAAGAACAACCCCAAAACAGTCATTACTTTAAAAAAGGAATGAAAATATCAATTAAAAAAAAACAGAAAGGCGCCGCTAGCTCCGGCTCCGAGGGGCTGCGAGCTCCTCGAGTTCCTCCTCCGGGCGCTGCCGACGGTTCAGCCGCCTGCTACGGCCTGGGCTCCTAGGGATTGGAGGGAGGGGAGGGAGCTGGCCTTGAAATTATAGGTACTTTTTGTATTATTGGTATGAACCGTAATAGTGGCATTTTTAGTATTATTGGTATTTTTAGTACTACTTATATGGTCGTATATTTAGTTTTGTCAGTGTTGGTAGGGAGCGGGGGAGGGAGGGACTGGGTTCTTGTTAAGGGATTCGATTCAAGGTACCATAGTTTAGGGTTCTATAAGGGTTTAGGGATTTAGATTGAACTGTCATAATCGGGAAACCATATTTGTTACCATAGATCCCTATTGTGCTAACTTACATTAAGTTCCCTGACAACAACTTTGAGGAGAGTTTGGGGTTCATGGGTTTATCTCTCAGGGATGAAGGTTTAGGCTTGAGGGAGGGGCGTTTGCGCTCCTTGTTCCGGAAAGTAGCAAAACTGTTAGGGCTCAGGGTGTTCAGGGTTTAGGTAGAGCTTAGGGTGAAAGGCTTGGGGTGCCTTATGCGCGCTCCCGGTACCGATTCCAAGCATTCTGCAATGGAACCTGAGCCAGCTAATTCTCGTGCTAAACCTCTCGAAACCCTGAAGCAACCCCGAGCAAAAAGCCAAATGGACCCTGAACTGCAACAGGCTAAAGTTGAGAAAAGGCTGAAGAAAGCTTCATAAAGAAAATTTACTATTCACCCTATCAAACCCATTCAGGGAGTTCATAACAGCGTATATGATCAAGACTCCAAAAGCCAATGAAATCCGAAACCCTCAGAAGCTGCTGCCATGCGACAAACCTCTGCCGTGCAGTGCAGAATCACGCAAAGCTTTGCTGCCGAAATCAGCTCCTGATACTGATGTTTAGGATTCGCTTTCGGTTCAGGGCTTATCCCTGAACCCTAAACCCTAAACCCCTTCAGGGCTTTCTTAGCCTTTGAGGTTCAAGGCTCAGGATCTTTGGGTTCGGATGTGGGGGGTTTCAGGTCCAGGAAGGCACGGAAGGCTGGGCTCTCTTTTCGTCTTCTGGCTTTTGGGCTTTAGGATTTAATTAGGGTTTAGGTTTAGGGCTTAATTAGGGTTTAGGCGTTTTTGGTGGGTTTCGGGCTTTAGGTACTTTAGGGTGTAACCTTAACGTAACCTTCAAGCTCCATACTCTCCAGCAGTTCAGAGCTAAACTCAAGCCCAAGCCCTAATACAACATAAATCTGCAATAATCCTGCACTGGGGACTGGTGCCTGTAAGTATTCACGCTTCCGTATTACAAGGTCCTGACCCCCGAGCCGCAGAAGCTTGATCCAGAGAGGGGGGGGCCCGCCTGATCCACAGCTAGAAGATGGCCCTCAGCAACCACAGGCGTCTGTTGGAGGTGCCACATCCTGGGAATTGGTGCTGAGGATTCGGGACTTGGCTTCGAGGTGCGGTGTTTTGAGTTCAGGTTTCAGGAAGCGTGGACTTTGATTTCGTGCAGCTTTCGGAAGTCCGCTGGGCTTTGGTGCAAACTGAGCACCATCACAACCAAGCTGCACGTCTTCCCGCAGCCGTGGCCAGTCCACGTTCTCCGGGCCCTCAAACGTGTCATCAACCTCAGACTCCGGCAAAAAGCCCGAGGCTCCTGGCCGGCTCACCCTTTTGTTGCAGCTTCTTGCCGAGCTGCGCGGTCCCTGTAGCCTGCAGCGAAGGGAGTGGCAATCGCATCGTGCAGGTACCAGTAATCAAGGAGACGACACAGGACAGCTGAGTCACCCGACGCACGAAAGTTTTCAAGAAGTAGTGGTCCTGGTGAACCACGACGGCCTGCAGCTGCTCGGCTAGCCTCGGCATCGACAACACGCCGACCGTTCTCGGCATTGGATCTTTCAAAGGGAAGCCAAGGTTCTGTTGGGCCAAAGTTGACTTGCCAGAACCCGAAGGGCCACCTGGGCACTTTGTCACCGATTCTTGCAGCTCCCTGAATCACACGCGGATCGCGGGTTCTTCCATGCAGCCTGCCCAACTTCTCAAACAGCTCGCTCAGCAACCGACAGATCAAGATCAGAGCCGGTGGAGGGCCGTCCGACATCGCACCAGGTTGCTGATAACCAGAGTACCACCAGGCTTGAGTCAGTATCAACCCTACACCCTGATGGTTAACCCAACACTTCAAGTCTTTAAAGGCATCAAGGGATTCTTAGGGTTTCATCTTCGGTGCTATCAGTACGTTTGGCTCCTGCTTGATGTCCTCTTTTGCAGAGTTGGAAGCCCTGACGCCCACAAGGCACGAACAGGCCGGAGCATCTTCAGCAGAGATCCGAGGCAAGAAGAAGTTGAAGAAAATACCAAGATGCTAACACTAGTAGTATGAGAGTCATAGTTCCTCACAACACGTGGCAATAGCAATGATAGAAGAGAACGGCAACAATAACTGGAACAAGTCGTACATAGTATTCACGGTTGCAGTACGCACAAAGTCAACCAGGAGTTAATAGTAGCCCTGGCGGACGGCTGTTTTAACCTGCAGTAAATTGGCGTCTCGGCTGGGCACTCCCTGGGGCTTGAGGTCGGGGGTGTTTCGGGCGAAGGGTTTCAGGACTTCTGGGTGTTTATGGATCCAGGGCGAAGTCCCAGCACGGTTCACTAACGGGCTTCGCCCGGTGGGTCGGTTGACATTCCCTCAGTTTGTCTGCCGCTATATTCATCAGACCACTCTTGCTCGACCCACCGAACGAGCCGACCGAGTGGAGCTGTCATCTGCTCGGCTCAAAGTTCGCGAAGGTGTCTCTCTCCTCCGCCGTTCTTGCGGGGGGTCATGACTCAGTGACTCTGGGCAGTCGGTCATAACTGGTAAAGCTACATAAGGACAAATCAATAACGACATCCCTATGCATCATAGTCATGACCACAATCGCACTCATCACCATCGCCATCATCATCACCATCATAATCATCATGAACATAATCATCATCATCATCATCACCATCATCAGCAGCGTCACCGTCACCGTCACAGTCATCTTCATCGTCGTCATCATAAGAGTGGAGATACTGACAATGGTACAAGTGATGTAATATTGCAATTATAACCTTGACGATGATGATGATGATGATGATAAACGATGATGACAACAGGTACAAAAACAACAAATAAAAGAACTAACAACAATGAAAAGTAGCAGCAATGATGCAATGATGCTGAGATCCATGGCTCAACGATCACTGCATGCACAGGGAATGCTCAGCTTGGGACGGCCGGAGCCGGTGGAAAGCCTTGCATCAAAGTTCGAAGGTCCTAAAGCCAACATATTGGCTTAGTGTTTAGGGTTACCCGACATACTGACACTGCTAGAGCACGGAGTGCAATGGTTCGAAGGAGCTGAGCTTTTTCGTGGAGATTCGGAAACCTGAGCTTGGAGCTCAACTCCAAGCCTGGACCTTCGCAGGCTGCACCACACACCCTCTAGCCGAAGCCTGCGCGGAAGCTCAAGCCTCCACCAGCCCAAAAAATCGACCCTCAACCCTATTCCCTAGGTCCTAAACCCTCAAATCGAAACCCTCAAATCCAGGGCTCAGCGCCGCGCTCTCGAAACCGTCTGCCTTGCCGCCGCCGCCGCCAAACTGGGACAGCAACCTCGGAGCACATTCTTTCATCTCTTCCTGAGGGTGGTAGGGTTCAGGGCGTTAAGCTTTTAGGGGCTTAGGGTTTTCGGATTTGGAGTGCAGAGTTTTGGGACTGTACAGGCTTGCGGGTCTCCGAAGGGCTCTGGCGAGGTCCCCCCCCAAGGAGGTGAAATCTGGGCCCGGCACACCTTCGAGTACTGCACCCCATCGGCGACTAAGGCAGGATAGTCCATCCAGAACTCCAGGTGAGGAATCAGCTGCAGACCTTCAGGGTTTAGGTGGGACCTTCCAAGGCCTCCCGAGTCTTTTGATGTTTGAAGCCCTGGGAGTTGGGACTTCGTGGATTCGGGCTGGACGTTGTGCACCGTCTGTGTCAAGCTCGCGTTCGGCGCTTGTTGCATCATAGGCTGATGTTTTCTAGAATCCCCAACAGCCCGAAAGCCAAGCGAGAAGTCACATCTCCAAGTCCAGATCCCAGGTCCCACCTCCGTGCACGTGTTCTGCTACGAATCAGTAGGTGATGACTCTGAACCGTAAAGCCCTTTTGAAAAAGGGTACATACTTCGAACAGGTCCTTGGACCACATTGGGCCATGAGTCCAGGAAACAAGGGCTGCCAAAAGAGGTGCCCGTTAAAACCTTTTTGGAAACCCTTTTTGTAGTTCTTGTAAGGCCTATGGTAGCCCTTGTACACACCTCGGTTTTGGTAGCCCTTGTGCTAACCCCTTCTTGGGAGGCTCCCTTACAGCGTGGGCACCTTGCGCGCCGTGCATCTGATACTTGTACAGGGCGCCGCAGACGAGGTAAATGAGGCCCAACTCGATGACCCCACGCAACCTCGGCATGCTCCGAAAGATTTGGGGATTGTGGCTGAGGCTCTTACAGAGGAAGAAGAGGATAGTCGGATCAATCATGCTAGGATAGAAGGGCCCGTTTGGAGTCGCTGTGGCTTCGGTAGCATGTGCTGGTTGGGGCTTGGGATCTGTATGTTATAGGTGGCTTAGCATCGCAACAGCCGTGGTGGCAACATCATTATGAAGCAGGAAATCCGAAACTTAGTTTGGGATCAGTCGCAGTGCCAGCCCGCTTGTTCTTCAGTCGGGCTAAACACACTTGTGTCGCGCTTAGAGCAGGAGTGCCCCAGACTCACTCATAGACGCACAGCCCACTCCAACCCGGTACACTTTTCAACACTGATCTGGCGAGAGAATCTCCATGCCATCTTCGGCCCTAAACACACAGTAAAGTTGTATCGACCCCAACCCCCAGAAGCGACGAAAAGCAGAGCTTTCAGGGGCCGACAGACCCGTGGCCGCCCCGTAATTCTCGATGTGCTCTACGTTCCAAACCTGCATCCGAAGGGAAACAGGGGCAGGTTGAGATGCTTGGAAGGGCCACCGTCAGATGGTGGCTGGGATCCTGTGGGGTTGCAGATCTTCCTTCTTAGGGTGGTCCTCAAGCAGGGCCAACATGGTGTGTCCTCATGGCATTGAGGTCTTGATGCACTAATTCTTTCTGCTTTCATCAGTCTCAATTTCGGCAACATGGCTTCGGAGTTTTTTACCTTGGTTTCGGCTTCGGGTACTGATGGCCTTCGGCCGTCCGCAAGTAAGCCCTGGTGCACCAATCCACACGCATGCCGGGAAATCCTAAGAGTCCGAGCCATCAACTCCAAAAGCTTTCAAATCAGCCATGATCCCCAAACGCCTCAAAATGCCGCTGAGGCCCCAGCGACACTCTCGGCTTCGCGCTCCCAGCCGGAGGGTCCCGAAACCATGTTGTTGCCAAAGAACTTCCTGAGACGGCTTCGACTTTTGGGTTCTCCGTGTTTAAGTTGGAGGCCTTAGAAGATCAAGGCTTGCAGTGCTCCGCTTCGGGAGGCGGCAACCGGTAAACCACGGATCCATCTCCGAAGGCTGGCCCTTGAAAGAAGTAGAGACGTAGAGAGACGTAGAGACGCGCGGTACGAGCCCGTAAAGGAGTCCTGAAAGGAGCCGAAAACCCGAAGCCCGACTCCAAACGCCCAGGTTAAAAAACAACAAAAAAGCCAAGCCCAACACATCACCCGCACACGGACACGCGCACAGAGAGTGCCCCACAAATACAGACCGAGGCGGGAACAAATCCGAAGAAACCTCGGACACGAGCCCGGTCTTGGCGTTGCCTCGGTGGCTGCTGCGGTGTAAAGGGCTTTGGGCTGAGATTTTGGGGGCTTGAGATTTGGGTTTGACGGCTTTGGGATGAAACTTGAGGCTTCAAGGCTGCACGCTCTGAGGCTTAAGCCCAGCAGCAGAGATCTCAGGGTGAAGCTTTCGGGACGTTGCTGTAGGAAGAATGCTGCCCTGGCGGCTTGAAGACTTCCCTAACACCTAACCAGGGAACCGCATCCCGAAGCCCGGCATCAGAAGAACCCTGCAGGAAACTAAGCTTCCTAAGCTCCCCGCACTGCCTTCCAAGCCCGGAAATCGAGGTCATAAGGTTAAGCTTCATCTACGCTTACCTACTCTGGCCAAACCTGGCACAGACTGAGACTCCGGCCCTGCTCTATGGCCTTCTTCACCATGTTTGTCTGAGGGAGCGAGGTCGGGAAGTGCCCCATTTGGCTTGCTGCCGATGTTCTTGACAACCGCGATCCACGATGCTTCGCGCAGTTGCGCTGTTTGCATGTTTAAATCTACTCCAATACTCGTCAAGTCTGATCGTCAAGGTCACTCTGAGTAGCTGTTGCGGTCCTGTCACTGCTGTGGGATACATATAACACACTTTCTGGCTTCTCTTCAAAGGCGGAAAGTTTCATGGCTGGTCGTCACATTCACTTCGCGTGCACACCTATCTTTCGCCTTGTACTAAAGGTTGCAATGTGAATCACACAATGTGTGGAGATCTCAGAGCCTCAAAAAACAGAAAACCAATTGCCCCTGGCGAACTGGGTCGTTCTGGCTGTTGTTTCTACTGAGGCTGGCCCTAGCAACATGTCTGAAAGCAGACTGCAAGTGTTTCCTATTTGCTCTGTCTGCTTATGCTCTTTGCTTCGTTCCTCTCGGACACTTTTGCCTCGAAAAAGCCAACCAGATATCCTGCACTGTAACAGACTGCAGATGCACCGATGATCCGGAGGCTATGACGTCATGCTGACAGGCTGAAGTTCTCCGGACCGATTGCTGGGTGCATGAATCCATTCCTGTACCGACGACCAGTAAAGCGCGGCAAAGTCTTGCTCATACTACACACGAGCTTTTTCAAGCCAGGAAATCATTCTTTGATGTCAGATATCCGCATGAAAATGGCACACCAAAAAGCACCATGCGCGCAAGCCCCCTTTTTGCATGGTGGATTGGTGTGGCTGCCGACTCCCGGAATGTTCCTTCGGAGGCACTCAAAAACAAACTCGCCTTTAATCCCTCTCTACTTCCCACATGGCCCAGAACCCTACTTTTGCCCCTAAACCCCTAATACCCCGAACTCCAAAAGCTCAGCTACCCGCCAGACCGGTCAGGGCTTGCTGCTCCCGCTCCTCAGTACTTCGGGGGGCTGAGATTTAAGGGCCTTGGGTTTGGGGTTAGGGTTCAGGTTCTGGGATGTGAAGGTTCAGGGTTGAGGGTTCTGATTCTGGGATGTAAAGGCTTACTGTTGATGGCCGGATGCTTTGCCTCACGCCCTATGCAGCCGGATCACCTCAGGGCCTCAAACGCCAACTGGCGACGCCTGCCAACTTAGTGTTCGGCCTTGGGAGAGGAACTGGGACGTACCCGAAGCGACGAAAGGTGAAGGATCGTCGTTTCTTCTGTTACGTTTGCTACCACCTTTACTGACCCTGACGACGAAAGCCAAACTCGAGCCTGCTGCGGCCGTAAACCCCACGAAACTCCAAATCCTGAAACCCATCATCCCGAAACCCTGAACCCTTAAAACAAAACGCTACACTAAACCCTCAAGCCTGACAAGACCAAGGGCGGCCGGGCCCCAGGCAACTAAGCCAAGAGGAAGCGATGCCGCCGCCAGCATCTCCTTGTCGATGGATGGGCTTCATTCGGGCGTTTAGGGTTGAGCAGCTGGGGTCCGAACCTAAGGGTTGGTACCTCTGGGTTTGAAGTTGAAGTCGTTACTGCCACCTACAAGCTGCTACTGGGAACGCTTGAAGTCTAGGATTCAGAGCGCGGGTTGCAGGGTGTAGGACTCCGGGGATCGGGCCAAAAGCTTGAAACCCTCGGGGAGAAGGATGCTCGAACAGGACTCTTCGTCACGCGAGGGGCGTCAGCTCAATCCTGACTTGCAGTGACGACAACAATGCAATGGTAAAGTTTGAGAAAAAGACTCGTAATAGCAATGAGACCGTCGCGACCAACATCAAAAGAGCAAGGTGATGTTTGTGACGGTTATGATGGTGATTGCGATGATGGTGGTGATGGTGATGATGGCCATCGAAATTATGATCATGATGGCGATGACCATGATGGCCATGATTACCATCAAAAGAGTCGTGGAAAAGATTAGCATCAACATTATCAATGCCGAACCCTGCGGAGTGCAAAACCCGAGAAGCAGGAAGCCTGCGAAAAAGCGAAGCATACGATGGATGAAACCTGTGATCGACTCAAACGACAATCTGTGAAGAAACGGCTGCGCCCCTAATCATGCCAAAACCCTCAGCCCGCAAACCCTAGACCTAGATGAACGAGCTGCCTTGACAGTCAAAACATCAGCGTCGCCGTCAGATATCGCGTATCGCCTTCAGAGGGAAGGAGAAGACCCGTAGCATCCGCAAGGATTTAGGTTTCGTAGGTCTGAGGTTCAAAATAGAGCACGTCTTTCATAGTGGGCTGCTGGATTCTCGGCCCACCCGGACGGCTCAAGGGGGTTGAACCTCAAACGACACAATGTCCCGAAGGCTGACGACCAAACGTTGGAGGGCTTGCGCCAGAGATCACCCTGCACGACCTGTGACAGCTCAGCTTTGGTTTACACCAGTACTTTTCCCAAAGCCTATACCCTGAAGCAAAACCCCTTAGACCTCTGCTAAACACGCAGACATCCGAAAGCTCGAACGTCCTTTCTACACTCTTCACATGACTAATGCCATCTTGCTCTTGAGCTCCGCGCCGCTTGAGGCTTTGCAAAGCGGAGTACGCTTTCGCGACCTGGAAGCCCTTGCTCCTGAGGGTTCTTGCAATTGAGTAATTGAGGGCGATGGCATAATTAATTTCTGTGCGTGGCTGCTGCTGCTGCAGTTGCTCCCCCGCCCTTCTATGATTGATCCTCATCCTGCTCCTACTACTACTACTACGACGAAGATGACCACTACTCCGACGACGGCGACGACAACAACTACGACTGCGACTGCGACTACGAGTATGACTACCACTACCACCACCACTGCCAGTACGATTACCACTAGCACTATACCAACACCACCAACAACAGATCAACTCTCGCCAAGATCGTCACCCTGCTGGCGACCCAGAGGGAGCGCTGGGGAAGCCTGGCGGTGAGCAAGCTTGGGGTGGCGGTTCACGGGATTGTTGCAGTTGGGATTAAGCCGTGAAGTCTTTCGCCGAGCTGAGAACTTGCGATTCGAGGAGGGCTCAGGCGTCATCTCAGTTCCGCATAAATTGCTGTGTGGTCTCAAACTTGCGGAGGAACTCGGCACCCGAATGACCTCCGAATCTCTGGAGACCCGAAACTTTCGGGGGGACGATTTTAGGATGAAGCTGTGTTTACCTTTCTAGGATTTAGGATGTTGAGTTTTGAGTTCAAGGCCGGCCCAAAGCCTACCTGAAGCACACCCAAGTACCGCTGGCTTCCGCTAGCCATGGGCCCGAACTTCTCAGAGTACCGTGTCTTTCGAATATATCGTTTTCCCCCAAAAGGCCCACTCAAATCCTCGTCGAACGAACAAGAGCCGTTGAGAAACTCATACTTAGACATAGCCGCAATATTTCGCACATTTTGCTATCAATTAATAATGATCCCGGTCCTAGTGATACCCTACTGATACTGGTACCATCAAGCGTGACATATTGTGATAACGACCGTGATTCAAAATCCTTTGCTGCCAGCTGGGCGCCTATTGCCAGCTTCACCCGCGTGGACAATCGGGCCTGGGATTAAGTGGCCTAAGGGCTCTTTGGATTTCAAGTGGCACGGTTCCGGGCCTAGCATCCGATTGGCACATGCGGAGGAGTGACCAACCCTGGACCTGTAACCCAACCAACTTTATATAACACGCCGCCACCACCCCACAACCAAAATGCGTTCTGAAGCAATATTTTGGAAGTAAAGCTGAGTAAGGTGCATGGGTTCGGGACGGTCTCGGGGCTCTTCGGGTTTGTGATGGGTGTGCTGAATGCCCGCAGCAGCAGCCCTATCGGCTCCAGCACATCTTGGACTAGCAGCGACAGCCGTGAACTAGACTTCGGGATTAAGCAATCCGGTTGGAATCCTGTGTATGGGTTTTCTGGTGTGCTGCACATTGCTCTGATAAGACACCCCGCAAACGCGTGACGAGCGGGGCTGACGTACGTTTGCTGGGCCTGCAGCCGATGAACAACGTGCAACCTTGATCAGCTCGACGATTGTGGATCTGCGCCCCGCCCCATCTGATCGCCGACGCAACATTGCGGCGTGGCTCCTCCAAGACAGCTTCTGCCGGAAGCAAAGCCCGAACCTCTGACAGTGGAAGTCGCAAGCCGATTGATGGGCAACTCGCGCTTTGCTAGCTGCGGCATCTACGGCAATGATCGGCGCCTCCCTGCCAGCGTACGTTGCTGCTACGGGTGATGTTCATCTGCGCTTGGAATCGGGGATAATGGTTTCTCGGTGAGAACACCCCCATCCCCGGGTAGTCAGCTGGGGCCACATCACGCAGCACCAGCGCTGCCGGAACACAGGACATGCGCGCAATCTCGCCGACGGAGCAAGGGAAGCGGCACAGCGCGGCGGAATTTTCCATATCACACACGGCACCGGACGAGGCACAGCGTGGGGGACGACATCAGCTGCAAGATCTCCAGCATTGCTTGTCGGCACCAGACGAAAGCAGAGGACAAGCACTCACTCAAAACAAGACACTGGCGCGTGCAACAACAGAGGCACTGCGACGGGTCTTAGCTTGTGGGATTGGCGGCATCCGTTGTGCAATCTCGAAGAGCAAAGCCAAACCAAGAGACCAGCACGGGCCCAAAGGGCCCACAGCACGGGCCCAGCGTCGTCGAGCACAGGGCTGTGAGGAGTGCAGGTTCCGAACCAGCTCGCGCCATGTGCAGGAGTGCAACAGCGAAAGCGTACACCAGGAATCCTTCCACAATCCGCTCGGGAAGCAACTTGATCCACATGACTCCAAGGCAGAATGCTCCTGGAGTGCGGCTTCGGTCCTCAGCCCAAGAACCTTATTCACCCGCCCTGAGCGCTCGCGAATCGGAAAGACTCAACGGCCTTGGAATCGAGATCCCGCCGCTTACAGTAAGGACTTTAGGAATTCCGGGAGCAAAGGCTTTTCAGGCCGTTACGAAGTTATAGCTTGGGCTTGGAACGACAAACCTCTTTGAGCTGCGGCACCTTGTCTGAGAGTTCCGGGGCCCCAACCCAGTCCGCGAAGGACAGCGGATGGATGCACAACCCAACGCCCTGCGTGCCCACCTCAACAAGATCGGTGTCGGCTTTACTGTAGGCATCTGTAGGCTGGCACGTTCGGAGAAGCGATGCTGAGGGCTGCAAGAGACTGTACATACCACAACAGAATCGGATGTTGACGGACCCAAATATCTGACTCCTGCTCTCAGCCTGAAACCCCACCTTGCGGCAGGATGCACCGCTCGGGCACTGGGCGTCTGCCTGGAGCACAAGCCCCCAATATATATCTTAAATGTTATTATCTGTTACATATTGTATATTATATATTATGCATTACATATTGTATATTATACATCCCGCAGAAGCTACAGCTTCAAGGGCTTTAGTCGGGTTGGTATAACTCGAGGTGCTACACTCTCATAGCTGCTAGTTACCATAACTCACCACAACTACCATTGCTACTTATGTCTTCTAACTCTGATGAGCTGATGATTGTTCTCACTGAGGGTGTGGTTACCGTTATCGTCCCCTAATTCTCAGACAGTACACTTCTGTCCTCCGCTTCAAGAGGCGAGTTGAAGCTGGAGCGCTGTAGGCTCCTGACCCTTCAGGTGGTAGGACAACCACAGCAGAATGCAAAGATAAGAAAACAAAAAATAATGTTGCTTTAGCATTAGTATTACTATGAATACTAACAGTAGTATTAATATTGCAGTCAAAATTTCGTCCATTCCCGTCCCAGTAGGTCCCTGCCCCCCTCAACCTCTGTCCAAGGAGCCATGTTGCGGACTGAAATTCCCAGCCTCTGGCGCTCTGTAGCAGCCCAAATTCAAAACACAAAGCAAGACCAAGCTTGCCTGAATAGAAGTCTTCACCATGCTGGGAACGAAAGAAGCCGAGGGAGCCTTCGTGGCTTCAGCCATCAAAAACCTCCGACATGGTCCAAACTTCAAACCCAGGGCCGGAGAGAAAATTCCGCGTGGCCTGGCAGAGGAGGCCGCAGTAGAAAGCCTGGCTGGACCAGAACCAATCAGAACTACTGACCAGTCAGAACAGCACGGAGTGATGACGACGCTACGAGCTGAGGCAGGATGATGACGGACGACGGATGATGACAATGCCGATGTGATGAGGGCGATGGCACGAAAGTGCCATGTGGGAACTAACAGCCGCCAAAGCAGAACAAACTAGGCCCTGTACTGCATGGTCCCTGCACTCTTCTTGGCTGGAGCGATTGCTGCTGCTTAACGCAGTGTCTATGGAGCTACGAAACTTGCAGGTGGTGTTGTTCCCTTGGGCCTGGTCGACGGTCTGCAGCATGCACTGGGGCTGCGCCTGGCATGAGCTCTGCTACTGCTTCAAGAGCTGCAGAAACCAGCTGAAACCATGGATGCGGCCCCTTTGCATGGCGAGTCTGCCCTGGAATCGTGAGGCACAGAGGGCTTGGTGATTCATGGTTGACATTTCGGTACCGGCAGAAGTCTGCCAAAGACGCCTCAAAGCTCAAGATATTGACCGGTCCGGGTTCATGCAGGCGGGTGGCTTCAGAGCTTCTGGCCTTAGGCTGGGATTTAAGGGGTTGCAGAGCTTGGCTTGTCTGTGGGTACCTGGTTTAGGGTGACGATAACATTCCACGGCCATGGGATTTCAGGGAACCTACAACCTATGCGAAATGCTTGGGGGATTGAAGTCAGCGTTTTCGGCATGCCGGACTCACCATGTTGGCTGGAGGCTTTAGGTCTTGCCTCGTTCCGAACCGAGTTCACATTCCAAACCGTCAACTCCAACTACTCTACAGCGAGCCGCCAGCGCACCACCTCGGGGCTGGTCAACGCTTAAGCCCCGGGCCGTAGAGGTGAGCGGGGTGTCCATCGGGCACTCGAAGGAGGCAGAGCACTTCGGCGCACACACCTCGCAGTACTGTACCAAAATACGACAACTCTGGTGATGTTATCCCTTCGAATTCTGGGCAGGTAAGCACGATGCGTCCAGATCGCCATTGCCGTTCTTGCAATTATTCGTGGCAGCCTTGCCACTGCATGAAATGGCTGTGATTGTTGCAGACCACATTACCAACGTCACTAGTCTTAACAGTGTCTCTGCTTTTGACATTCATGGCGGTATGGAAGAGGATAACAGATGACGATGATAACTGAGACGGCGATCGCCACACTGGACCCATGCCGACCAGTTGTGACAAGAGTGTGGTTCTTCCTGTGTGTTTGCTCATGTTTTGCTTACTACTGGCTCACCATCATCGTGACTAGTGTTTCTGTTGTTCTTGCTGTTCGTGTTGGACAACTTTTGCAGAGTTAACCATGCTGCTTGTTCTGAGTATCCTGCTTGCTCCGGCATGACCTGCCTTCTTGAAAACTTGTGCCATGTCCTCCTGACGCTAGCACAATGAGGACTCGGCCATGCCATCCTCCCCCTGGATTTCACCAGCCTTGCATGAGTCTTGGGGCTTCAGCGAGGACGGAAGGAGCGGAGAAGTGAGAGATGCCACCACCTCGCAGTCTCTCTGAGCGTTGTGCCACCTCATCCGCCTGGCAAGAGCCCTGGTAATGGCTCGCGCGACACCTGAGTCGAAGCTCCAGGAATTGCAGCAGTAGTAGTAATGGTCGTCGTCGTCGTAGTGGTAGTTGTTGTTGTTGCTGTTGCAGAAACGCACCAGCAGCAGTAGTGATAGCCGTGGTGGTAGCGGCAGTAGCAACTACTATTGTTATTCATAATGTTGTTACTATTGATTCGTATCGTGGTGGAAGTGGTAGTGGTAGTAGTAGTAGTAGTAGTAGTAGTAGTAGTAGTAGTAGAAGTAGTGGTAGTGGTAGTGGTAGTGGTAGTGGTAGTGGTCGTGGTCGTGGTCGTGGTCGTGGTCGTGGTCGTGGTCGTGGTCGTGGTAGTGGTAGTGGTAGTGGTAGTGGTAGTGGTAGTGGTAGTGGTAGTGGAAGTGGAAGTGGTAGTGGTAGTGTGGCCAGTGCCCAGTGCTCAGTGCCCAGCAGTCTGCAGTGGCAGTGGCAGAGTAGCAGTCGTTGTTGTCATAGACTACTTCTATCAGGAGCTTGCGAGAGTCACAGGATCCTGAGGGCGACACAAGCTAGGCGCAGCGAGGAGAAGGGCTGCAAGAAGGATCATCTCAGCCTAAACCTAAGATGCCCTGCAAGTGCTGCATTGCTGCATGTCAGCCTGCTCCAGGATGCTTCCGAAATCAATTACAAAGAGATGGAATTCCAACTTGCTCCCTGCGTCTTTTGACCGTTTCCTGCTCCCCAAGTTCCCACGCTTAGGTGAACCCTGCAATCGGCGAAACATGTGACACGTCCTCATGCGCTCAATGCTTTGAGAAGGCTGCGAGGACACAAAACCCGAAGGAGCCTAGCAGCGGCAGGCCCCTAAACCCTAAACCTTAGGTACTGCCCCCATACAGTAAGAGTCTATAATAGGGCTACTATTAAGGTCCTAATATACCTTTTTTATGAACAATATTCAACTATTACTGAGTGGGGCCCGTACCCAACCTAAACCCTAAACCGGGTTCAGGGTCTAGACTTTAGCATACCTTCTCCCGTCAACAAACATTCCTCAGCTTTGCATGGCACCGGAGCCACGCATTGGACTCTATGCAATAAAACTCATGGTAAGGAAATCACTCCAGTGAATCACAAAACACGATAGCTTACTGTGGCCTCTTCGAAAGAAAAGTGTAGTCGCACTCTGCTCGTGGTGATATGCTCTGAGGTATACTAGTAATACATTGACTGGTTTTGTGCAAAATTCTACATTCATGACCATGTTCCAATCTTATGTTCTCATGGGCTTTATGTCAGCCTATGCTGAATTTGCTGCCTTTATGTGTCTACCAGTCCGGCAGTAGATCAGGTTTGCTTGTACGGATCAGAGATGCCTGCTGAAAAGCCTGGCCTCGAAAATCCTTACAGACCCTGTGCGAACATGATGCAGCTATAGGGAGCGAAGGATAAAACACATGAAACCATCAGCAACATCTTCAGAATGTCCCGCTTTTGTCTTTTGAGCTGACTGAACTAACCTGGCCTTCCCTGTGCCTAGAAGATAAGCCTTCGGGAGCCCTGCCCCAAACGTCCAAAACCCAACAGATTGGAGCATCAAAGGCTCCGGAACCCAGAAAATCCAAGCCGGCTCGCCCGAAAGCCAACGGGCACATCAGGCTGGAAGAACGGCGCCCGTTTTCGGCCAACCCCACTTCTCTGTTCCCCGTGGCCACAGACACCGGACTCAACATCTGCAGTGAGACGGCAATGACCGCCTCGGTTCCCTCGGGTAACTGTCACTAACACAATCTAACACGCAGCTTCTTGAGTCAAGTAACTTCACTGCGAAACAAAAGGTAACAATACTCATCGTCGGCATAAACATCCTAGGGGTAAGAATCTCAGCACCCTAAATCCTTGTTAGAAGAACTGGAGCCTGTTGGCAGGTCCATGCTCCCTCGAAGTCCGTGTCGTGGGCCCCCACCAAGTCGGTGCTGTTCACCGGACCAGGCACGTCGACCCCACCGGGGGGGCCGAGGTGCCCTCGGACGCTGCTTTCAACCGGGAGATAGGGAGTGGTAACTTCGGTTTCCTCTGGCAGCGATCTCCCGGAAGTGAAAACGCGCGGATTAAACACTCAAAGCGCACTTACATCATCGAGATAGCCTATGCCGGCAACCTCGTGCCAAGCCGATGCTACAACTTGAAGCTACGGAGCTAGGACGGATCTGGCGACTGGGAGCCTTGGTGGAGGGGAGGACAGAAGTTTGGGTCTGGGGGGCATCGAGGGCAGAGGGATCTGGCACTCTGCGAGTCTGGCTGAGACAGCCCCTGAAATCTGAGCTTCGAACCTCCGAGGACGTAGAACCTGGAATGCGCAGAAATGCACTTCGTCTTCTGCATTCCATGTTGCCATAGTCGTCAGTCTCAGCGGTTCCGTCGTCAACCACCTCAACCTCCGCACCTTCGCCCTCTGCATTAGCATCATCGAAGTCTGGAGCAGCTGCAAAGGCAGAATCATGAACACCTGTACAAACCATCGCCATGACAACCCAACTCTTGACCTCAGTACACTCATCATCAGCATTCCAATGGCAGATCCTCCCTCTTCATCATAAACACCCTTAGATCCCGGGCCATGATCATGAGCAGCGTCATTCAAAATCGTACCACTATACTGTTCTTCTCACAAGCTTGCTATCATAAACGTATTAATTCCATGCTCGAAGTCAAGAGCTCCTTCATCGAATGGTCATCCTGGTCCTCATCCTCGCCTCATCCTCATCCTAATGAACATCCTCATCCTCATACTCATACTCATCGTTGGTTGCATCATCGCGACCGTCGTCAAAGTCATGACCGTCACGATAACCATCATCAGCATTCAACAACATCGCCCTTATCGTAATGAGCATCACTACGGATGAAACTGTTCGTTCAGCACCTGTCCAGAGCCTACTCAGTGCTGCTCAAGCGGCAGCATATATGCTTTGCTTCCCAAAGTTGTCCATGGCTCCTGGACGAAGCACAACACACAAAAGCGATCACATAAGCAAAACCCCAAATCCAGCCGGTCTAGTCGGTAGGGTGCCAAAGCCAAAGCCCAAGCAAAAAGAGTTTGGGGGAAGAGAAATGGCCCGGGGTCAGGTAATCGGGTCCTCGCCAGGAGCAAACTGCTTCACGCGGGAGTCGTCAAAGAGGCTCCACTCCCCTTTGGCAGATTCCGCGAAGCAGACGTAGTGCCCAGACCTGCCCCAGACTCTGCAATGCCGGAACCAAACATCCAAGCCGAACACGCCGCGAATTCCATTCGAGACTGAACTGAAAGCCAAACGGTCGAATTATCACCCCTATTGCAACAATGACGACATCCACAAGATCATGTTGCTGGTGGCGGTAATGGTGGTCATGCATTATGAATGACGAAGGTCATGACGATCACGAGGACATGCTGCCCACGCCGATGACGTTGAGGATCACGACCCACGTGACGAAGAGCACGATGAGCACGACAGTCGAGGACAGTGACGACGACGACAAAGGTCATGGTGGTGAGGCCCATGCAAGATGCTTGGTTTCTGGGAAAGGCCAGAGCAGATGGCACCTGGGCGATGCCCCTTCGTGTGAGACGATGGCACGGAGCTTGTACACCAGCGCTTCTGCCGGCTCAGCCTGGCGTTGTGTGAGCTCGGGGTTACAGGGCTCTTTCATGTTGATGCCTTTTTCCAACTGCCTGTGCAGAGAGAGCGCTGTTGAGCAGGCCGTATGGCAGGACTCTTACCTTCCGAAATCTCGGGGGATCCGGGATCTGCTTGAAGATGGTTTCTTGGACCGGGCAAATCAAAGAGCTGTCGATACTCCCTGAAATTCCGAGCATACGCAACTGCACGCCGAACCCCAAGTCTCTCTTAACTTGCATCTTCCACCTCGGAGGCCGGAGCTCCGGCAGCGGGCCTCAGGCTTTCTGACTTCTTTTGTTAAGGGGTTCTGGCTTAAGGGTTCAGGGCCTGGGAATGGAGGGCTGGGGGCAGCATGTCATAATGGGAGTGAAGAAGCCCAACATCAACCAGCAAGGGACAGCTCACGCCAACTCCTCAAAGCCTCACAGCTGCAACCCATGACTGGGTGACACATCGTTTACGGCGTAGAGATTGGGGTTTAGGGTTTAGGAGAGTGCTGAGGAGTGTTACGGTTCCTTCATCTCCGTTCCTTAACAACAACCCACGTGATGTCCTGATATGTCCTGGGCTCCAGGCGTGGCAGTGGATGCCAGCGGCCTCGCCGGGAGTCGTGCCGGCGACACACCTGCGCACAAAACGATCGAAAATGTAATGTACATATAGGGTGCTTCTATCTTTCCTTCCACGTCCTACTTCACCTACTTCTACTGAATCTTCTTCTTGGTATGACGGTGATTACATTTTGTACACGTACACGACGGCTTTCTGAGCACTTCACGTGGGTTCATGGGCGTGTTCACGTGTGGGATTATGTCGACTTCAAGAACATTAACACTGTACATTGTCTGCATATTCTGTTTCAGTGTTGCAGCAGGTCTTGTAATTATATATAACCACTAGTATGTAGAAGAACCGAAATATAGCCGGATAGCAGGATCAGTGCAAGGAGGCGGCAGAGAAGCAGCAAGGCTTGCCGGCTCATCATGATTCGAGCGCCTGTGGCGCTGCCCTTGCCAAGGATGTTTTCCACATCCAACCTCGGCGGTGCATATCCTATGGTCGTGGCGTTTGGGTGCAACTTGTAGAGATCTGCAGACAAGGGTTGCTGACGAATGTGACTTCTTTGGTGACTCTAGCGAAAAGCGGAGAACTTAGCAAGAACCGGGGCTCTTGTTGAAAGGCTCTCCAGCAACGAACTCTTGGCCGCGAGCATGTAAGGGATCTGGACGGATTGATGCTGCTTCTCGTAGCGCTGCTTCTCAACGTTCGGAACCTTAGCAGCAGGGTCCCGCCAAACAAGACCACGGATACTCAGAGCCACATACCCGTAGAGCCTCGAAACTGTGGACCCTACAATCCCGACAATAGAGCTTGTGAGGTCCGCGCGAAGCGCTTGAGGTGCAAAACCAAGAGCCGTGGGGCCTCGGTAAGCTGCGTCTCCTGCGTGCTGGAGGCGCAGTGACCCAGTGCACAGCCCTTCACCACTTTGGGCATGAAAGAGGTCCACCTTTTGAGCATCCGATTTTGGAGATGCAATGGCTTCACTGCTCTACAATCAGCTTGCGAGGGCCCCATGCCTGACGATGCCCACGTCAATGACTGGGGAAATCATGCAGGCCACGGCTGGCAGCAGTTGGGGTACATGGCATTGAGGGTTTGGTCAAAGCCGAGTGGAAGAACGAATGGATCTGCCGGAAGATTGGACCGGCGGTGTTCACTCAATTGATGTTTCCCCGAACATGTCGCATCACATTCCTCTCTACGCGACTGCTCTGTTTCGCGGCTGCTCGGGTTCTTACGATCAAGAGACATTGCATACAACATATTTATACATTCAGCACGGCGTGAGATGTCGGTCAAACCCTGTAGACCCAAATTATGGTGAGTAAAAGCTGGGAATCTCCGAACGCAGGGCCCGTCCAGCAGGGCCGACGTGGCTTCGCAGTGCTCGCATTTCGCCTGTCTGGCGAAGCTCGAACTTACAAAGTTTAGGCTTTTGTTGAGGGCCTCCAAAAAAGAGTTTAGGACTGTGACTTATTGTTTACGGGTTAGGGTTTAGAGTTAGGCACAGCCTTGGCTTCGAGAGTGGGTCGCGCCTCGACAGTCTCTGCGTCAAAGTAGCTGCGAAACATAGCCTCGATGGAGAGCGGGTTGGCGTCAGTGCCTCGATAGTTGCGCCGGTCTTTTTGGGCGCTTTGGGGTTGCAGTTTGCGTATGTTTGCGTAAGAGTAAGTTCAGACTTAAAGTGAAGCTTGGAACCCAGGAGCAACTCGCAAACGGCTGTGAGGATCCGTGCCTGGAAACCTACCAAAAGAAATGAAAGCACCAAGCCCTGGAACGCCTGTAGCCCAAAACGGTGAGCCCGCCATCCTAGAGCCACAAGGTACCCCAAGCCCCAGGTATCCTGCAAAAAACCACCCAACCCCGAAGCTCTCCGGGAACCTGCGGATGGCCTTCAAGTGAAAAGCACGGCTGAGGGAAGTGCGGAAGTCCAGAGAGAAGTCTCGGAACCGCTCAATCACCTGATCTTTCATGTGGCACAACGATGCCGACTGCCTCCGCCTCTCACTTGTGTGGCTGCTATGAGCTATCGTAGTTGCGGACACCGTGGTCCTACTTCCCATCCCTTGGCGCTCCGCTCATCCTCATCGAATACTCTGACTTGTACTACGCTTTCACTAGTAGCGACGGCTCTTCAGCCATGGCACCTCGGAGCAAGCGGCTGGAGTTGAAGCTTCGGTCTTCCGCGCTTTGATGTGACGTCGGGTTAGCTGGCATTGTTGGGGTTCTGTCAGGTCCAGCTTTGGGCTTTGGCGCTGCGAAGGCCGCTGAGTGAACGCGCCAGGATGAAGGCCCCGGCCCCGGATCAAAAAAAGCAACCGCTGCGGCCCGCCGAGGCCCGCACCTGCCGCGGCTTCCCACACCTCAGCGGAACTTCTACGCTTCTGGGCCGAGCCTTCTTTGAGAAATGAAAAAAAAAACAGCAATGACAAGAGTGAGCTCTGCGTGGCTTTCCCCCGGACGAGACCCTGGCTGCGTGCACGTGAGTTGCTTCAGCAGCTCCGCATCGAAGTGGTTCTGTGTGGCCTCCACAGCCCAATTAGGCCAAGGTTCAGATTGCGGAATGCGAGGAAGCCAACATGTGACACATGAGTCATGATGAAGATGAAGGATAACGACGACGACGGATGACGATGAGGATGAGGATGAGGACGCTCCATAGTCCTCGCCCCAAGTCAAAGAACACAGTAGAAACATGCAGGGCCGGCAACAAAGCCGTGACTTTGCTTCACACGGAAGGGACAAGGCCCACGCAAGCACAGGTTCTTGATCCTCCGCCGACGTCCGGGCCAGCCAGTCCTAGCAGCATTGCTGGAGGCGCCGTGGTACTGTCACCACGCAGAGTGGGAGACTTGAGCCTTGTGACCCCTCAAAAGCTCGTCGTGAAGCTGGTTGATGTACCTGTGCACAGGCTGCTGATGTGACTTACACGGGAGCCGAGCACCGCATCTGTGCAGACAAGCTGCTCCAAGAAGAACTCGTGGGCATCTTGCTGACCGCTACCTCTGAACATTGGCCTTCCAGGCATCAGGACCACGGGGTCTGAGTCTGGGGGACGGTTCGGAAATACTGAAGGCCTTCCTGTCCCCGGCTGAGCTCGGCACGCGGCGATCGCGATCTGCTCTCGAAGCTTGGCAGGGCTCAGCCTCTGATTGTCACTGTGCTCAGCATGCCGTACCATCATCACAAACACCATCTTCCTTATCAGCTTTGCGGCTGCGCGGTTCCGTTTCTCGCCTCCGTATCATCTGCACCACGACCGTTGTCACAAACGGTAACGTCATCATCGTCTCGTTGTCATGGACATAGCCGTCATCAGCGATAGAAATCGCCTCACCACAATGTCATCGTGACGATCAGCAGCGGGGGAAGCAAGCACATGACAGCTGCACAATCGTCGACTGCATCACCAGCAGTCACCGGAGATCATCAGCATAGTCCGTCATCTCTTGATGATCCTCCTCACATCTCCCTTCATCGTCTTCGCAGACATGCTCGCCATCGCAATGACTTCATATCGTCCCCGTCGCCCTCCTCCCTGTGTTGCCCTTACCGACCTATTCCTTGTCACTTCATCAACAGCATGAAGAGCATCGTCACCAGTATCGACAGCCTGCATCATCATCAGCATCATCAACAACGTCATCATCATTATCATCATCATCATCATTATCTGATGATGATTATCATCATCATCATCATCATCATCAGCGCCAGCAACATAAATCATCAACATTATCATCATCGTCGTTATCATCGTCTTCTTCGTCATCTTGACCGTCAAGTCCCCACCGGCGTAGCTCTCATCGCCATCATTGCTGGCAGGGCCCAAACGGTGCATTCTGCGCCGCCTGCAAGCGCTGCAGGATATCAACCTGCAGAGGTGCACGAAACGGGCTTCGACTTGGGCTTGAAATTGTTCTTCAAAGCCCATGGCCTTCTGACAATGCCTTTGACTCTATGACTCTCGGACTTAAGGCACAGGTTGTAAAGAGACTCCACTGCTCGGATCTGAAGAGCGGGCGCTGCACTTGAAGAGCGGGCCGTTGGTACAATGGGGCCATCGCGTTGCCCTGGCAGCGCGGGCTCAGAGAAGACCCAGAACGGTGGACATGCAGAGCCGGGATCAAATCTTCCCAATTTTGCATAAAACCAAAGGAGCGGCGCTGAACTGGGAAGCTGTCGCCTCACAGACCCTCAAACCTACACACCACAAACAAGCTGGGTAGGCATGGACGTCAGCTCTGCGACGAACTCGCGAGATGCGCCTACGGCCTGGCAACATGGTGATATCTGTTCTGATAGCAGCTATTCTTATTGTTCTTCTTATCATCAGCAGCATCGTCATGGCCAGCAACAGAGCCGGCGATAGTCCCAACAGTGAACGCAGTTACCCGCGCCGAACGAAGCGGAAAGCCACACCTGGGTGACCGCATTGAGGTAGCACGTGTTGCCTCGGGCAGTCCGACTCGTCGCAGTGCTGAGGCATGCTTCTGTAGCAGCAAGACCACGGAAGCTTCCCTGAAAATCCTGAAACCCAAATTACCAAACTCAAACCCCCCCTTCCCCCCCCACACACAAACGATACGACCCTCCCAATCGGCCTAAGTTCTGTAGCCCGAAGGCCAAGGAGGATCGGTAGCCGTGGTAGACGGAGGAGTCCTGCTAGAAGACGACTGGTTTCAGGCTTTAGGGGTTAACGTACACCAGGGTTAATGGTTGCTTTGTTTAGCACTTTAGAGCTCTAGGTTGTTGGGGGTTAGAGTTTTTAGGGTGTTGGGTTAGGGTTTAGGGCTTGAGGGTGTTGGGCTGCGGGTACGCTCTACGGCCCCTGTTTTTGCATACGCAGAGTTTGAGGCGGGTTTCAGGGTGTTAGGTTTGTCATTTAAAGCTTCGGGTTCATGATTTCAAGGTGTTGGGTGCGGGGTTTGGGGTTTAGCGTTTCGGGCCCAAGCCTTTCCTTACCTTCCCACCCCTCCGGCCTGCAGCGGATTGGACACTTTCCTCTGTAGAACCGCATTCCTTTGTGGCTGCCTGAACAACTGAAGGGCTTGGTCCAGACAGACTAAAAGGATTGATTCTTCGAACATAGAACGTAAGGTAAGCTCTACATAGTATTTGGCAAAACGTGTAACATAAACACAGTATGATGCCATACAGTGTCACCCAATGTAGTCTAGAACCTTATAAGCTTTAGATATATACATATATAATATCCATATATACATACATACATACATACATACATACATACATATATTCATATATGCAAATATACATATATTCATATATACATATATTCATATATACATATATTCATATATACATATATTCATATATACACATATTCATATAAACACATATTCATACATACATATATTCATATATACATATATTCATATATACATATATTCATATATACATATATGTGTATATACATACATACATACAAACATATTAGACATATGGACATATACATATACATATACATATACATACATATATATATATATATATACATATACACATATATAAATATATACATATATACATATATACATATATACATATATACATATCTACATATCTACATAACTACATATGTACATATATACATATATACATATATACATATATACATATATACATATATACATAAATATAACATATATACATATATACATATAACATATATATACATATACATATAGACATATATACATACATACATACATATATATACGTATACACGTATATGCATATATGCGTAAATACATATATGCATATGTACGTATACATATACAGTTATACCCATATATATATATATATACACATACATGTATATCTCCATTTATATATGTATATATATACATATATAGATGTAGATATATACATATATATATACATATATACATATAAACATATAAACCTTCAAACATATAAACATATAAACATATAAACATATAAACATATAAACATATAAACATATAAACATATAAACATATAAACATATAAACATATAAACATATAAACAGATACACATGTATACATATATACATATGTACACATATACATATGTACATATATACATATACACATGTATGCATATATACATATACACCTATACACATATTCTCATATACTCATATACACATATACATATGTACACATATACACATATGCACATATAAACACCTACACATATACATTTGTATATATATATGTATATATACATATATGGGTTGCAAGCGTTTGGCACCAAGCTCCCGGCATGCGCCGCAGTGGCTGGCTCGGCCGCCTGGCGTGCTAGAGAACGATGGTTTCGGAAGCCTGCTCAGAAAAAGGTGCAGCCTAAATCTAACCCCGGCACAGATTAGTGTTGTATTATCGCCGACTGTGCTATTGTCATTACCGCTCTGATTATTGTGAACATGCTTGGCTTGTTCGTCGCAGTTACTTTTCTGTCGCTACCGATACTGTTGCTGCTGCTGTTGCTGTTGTCAGTTGCTGTTGTTACCATTACTGGTCTTACAAACCTTTCGCCCTTAACCCTCGCATTGACATGCCCGGCGCACGCCAGGGGCAGATCTTCGGAGGTCTTCGTCACCACCCTCGGCCCCGGGAACGCTGCAGAAATCTTGCGAGCGGCGAGCACCGTGTAATTTTCTTACTCTTACCACGGTCTCCAAAAGATAGCAGTACACTTATCACGTTCTCAGTCTCTACTTTCGCTGGTTTGTCTGGTGTTGGCTGCACCTGTTCTCTGACCATCTTCCATGTCTTCTTAGCCGCGCTTCTTTCTGTTGGTTAGCAGGCTTCTTCGCATCACCATGCTCTTGCCACCATGAAGCCCTTGATGCGTTTTCGCATCGGCCCCGCTCTGTCTTCTGAAGTCTGGTTAAATGTCATTCCTTCCGAGTTTCGGGCTTCAGGCTGAGAGGTGCAGAGTGCAGAGTGCAGGGTAATGCATGGTTCCCAAAGACTGAGAGCTAAGAACCAAACAGTCGAAAACACCTGAGCCCTGCATGAACAGACGAGACGCCACGAAAACATCCCCAAAAACAGGAGGCCTCAAGGCTACAGCCCCCGGACCCAGAAAAGAGCTCCGGGCTTGGAATCCAGGACCGCCCGCTTGTAGCTCAGGGACTCCGCGACCTCCACTTCCAGGAGGAGGCGAAGAAGGTGAAGGAGGCGAAGGCGGAAGAGGAGGAGGCAAAGGGTAGACAATTTGGCCGCTTTTGGGTGTAGCAGGCTTTTGCGCTCCTCGGGCTTCTTGGGGAACGCTGCCTTGTTGGCTCCACGATCTTAGGCTTGGACCGAGTGGTGGCTTACCATCTTCTGTTGTTGGCAAGAGCTGCTGCCTTCGAATCTGTTTTTGCTACTAAAGGTCACTGCTCTTGCAGTGGCCCCTGTTTTTGTCTTTGCCATTCCTTGCAACAGCCGCCGCCGCAGCAGCGGGCCCCACAATCTGTGGTGCTTGGTACCCGATCTGAGGCCCGGAGCGAAACCACCCATGCCAAAGAGACGAACAACGAGGACAAGTTATGGAAATTGTGTGTCGGAGTAAGAACGGTGAAAGCCAGTCTTCTACATATATATATATATATATGTATGTATGTCTGTATGTATGTATGTGTATATACAGATACATATATATATATATATACACGTATTCCTTGAGCCATGGTCGTGCACATCATCACTCATCATCCTCATAACGATCACCGCCACCACTACGAAGAGAAGTGGCCACAACAACTGCAACCAAAAGCTTACGAAGGGTATAACACCTGCCAGCCCTGCCAGCGTAGCAGTCCTGATGAACCCCATTCCCTCCCGTAAGGCGTTGGCGGGGCTCCTGATTCTCAGCTTGTTCATGTTCGACATGGCCCTGGTGGGCAGGGCCCCTTCAACACTGGGTGCTCCAGGTTTCAGTAACCTGCTTTCGAGAAACTCTCTTGGCTGTGCAACGTGCAAAGACACCAGCGTACTCTTCAACCCAAACCTTCCGAGCCCTTAACCGCCCCTCAAACCCTGGACATTCATTTAACCCTAGGCTTTAAACCCTAAACAAACCCTTATCTGAGGTCAACACTCGAAGCCATCGTCGTCGATCTTCTGCTTCTTCCTGGTGGCCCATCTCTCGGAAAAGCTTCAGGCTCAAAGAGGCCCAAACCTGAAATAACCTACCTTTTTAAAGACGTAAAGATATGTAGAAACCATATTAGGGAACCCTAAGAATGGCAATTTACATGGGGGTCCAGGTAAACCCTAAACTTCCTTGAACCGGGCGGGCTCCTGGGAGGTTCGGGTGCAGGCTTTGGCAGGACCTCCGGAGCCTTGATCGATGCGTTTTTTGGGGCCGACCTGAGCGTGTTGCTTTGTTTCAGAGTGGTTCAGGGGTTTAGGGGTTTAAGGGGTTTAAGGGGTTTTAGGGGTTTTGGGGTTGAAGGGGTTTAAGGGGTAAAGGGTTTAGGGTTATAGGTATGGTTTAAGATTTAGGATCTGAGGGTCGGGCCAGGGTTTGCCGGGGTTCAAAGAGTCCTGACTTTTCATGACGGATACCAGATTTGTTCTTGCCGTTCATCATGCAGCTAGGACTCCGTTTGAGTGTTCATTGCTGCTTGCCATCACCCTTGCTGCTACAGAAGGCATTGCTGTTAGCGTTACTGTTGTTTGTGTGCAACCGGCACAATGGTATCATTCGCGCTAGTATCATCATTGGTGTCGTGTTGAACTTATGCGGGGAGTCGAGTAATCATTCACACCGAGTCGAATTGGCAGTACCCCTGACTGTGACCAGATCATTCTCAGCAAACTTGCTCAAGTGCGAGAAGTGGCACTGTTGCTATGCTTCTCGCACTGCTCAGGTTTGCCGTCACCGCAATTCTGTAGTTAATATGTTCTGCATCATTTTTGAACATTACTCGATAGCTCCAAAAACGAGCCTGGCACATGTTTAGCAGAGCGCGCTTTCAGGCGATGCGCTTCTCCATCATCAGCCACTTGATCTTGTTATCACACGTGCAACTGTCCTGAACAGTTGCACGGCGGAAAGATGGATGGAGATTCGCCGTAAACCTGGAAACCCGACTTGGCATAGCACTTTCTGGCCGGCTCGTTGGTCTCCAACACTGTGAGTTTCATTTTCGAAATGGCGGCTCCCAGCTTTTGAGCGCGCTTCTCGGCCGCTTCGATCAGCAGACCGCCCAAGCCCCGACCTTGATGGGGGCGGTCGACCTTGCAGTGTGTAATCGTCATTGTCTGGTCTGCGAAAGATGCGTGGATGTATCCTGCCACTGTGTGGGTCTGCTGTGAGACTGCTGGTAGTGTGAAGGCAGACGGGCGAACTCCGGTCGCCATCTCTTCAATGACCTTAAGACGGGCTTCTTCGTCATCCGCGTGGACATTCACGAGAGCCTCCGCTTGCTCCGTGGTCAGATCGCGGTACCACGTCGCATCCTGGTGCAGATGCGCGTGGTCTCCTGCAAAGGGCCGCCGCCGCCGCCGCCGCGGTGGTGGTGGTGGTGGTTTTGTTCTTGTTCTGGTTGCCCTGGTGCTTGTTCTAGTCAACAGATGTCTGCAATGGCTGGTGTATGCTAGTCACTGTTAGTTTCAAATCCACACTAACCCACTAACTTGTCCGCTGAGATACTGCTGATTCTCGAGCACCACGTTGTCCTCGCTTCGTTCAATGACCGGCTCCGACTCCCCTTGGGCCCATTCCCAGTGAGCGAAACGGCTGCGAGTTGCAGTTCCCGGGCAAACGCAACTCGGAGTTGGCGACACATGCTTTCTTTTTCTCTGCGGTGCTTTGTGATTCAGCGCCTTCAACATGGACTGCGGCGTCTTCTGCTCCTTGGACCGCACCATGATAGATGCAGAACGTTCGATGAGGAAGTCCGCCACATCAAGGTGGCGGTTTTCAATGGCAAAAAAAAGAGCTGTCTTCCGGGCGTGGTCTCTAAAGTTCACTTCGAATCCAACCCGAAGCAGGAAGTCTACAACCGGCATGTTACCCCGTGAAGCTGCCCAGAAAAGGGGTGTTTGCCCATAGACGTCTATTTCTTCCAGGTTAACGCCCATGGCGACACATTGCTTGGCCAGGATTTCGGAGCCTCGGCGGCGTCGCGCCGCAATGAAAAAGAGAAAGTTTTGTCGAAGAGCCGAATGTTTCCAGGACATGTCGGCCTCTGACAGGACCTTCTTTGCTTCAGCATAGCTGCCATCGCGGACAATCTCGAACAGTCGGTCCCGGTCGGCACCGGCTTCATTCGACATGGCCGCGAAAGACACCTCTTGGTTCATGCCAGGCCAATTTTGAGCCGAGCATCTTGCGAAGAAGACTCTTTGAGGAGAGTCATGGGGCCGAAGATGGCCGGAGAATATGCAATGTAACATGCCATCTGCCTGGATAAAACACAAGTATCGACGGTAGCGGCTCTTCTCAGTGCAAAAAAGCAATCCTGCCAGAGCCTGCTGCCCCTTGACCCTCAATGCTATTTACTACGCGCACTTCTGAGCAGACCAAGAAGAACAGAATCACGTAGCTGCGCAAACATCTTTGAACACGAAAGAACTCTCGCATTCGCTGAATGAACGCCCACCCAAACCGGCTTCGCTCTTCGTACAAGGACCGAGATTCTGGATGCAGGTGTGCTGAACTAGCAAGCATTGAGGCAATCCAGAGAACCGGGATAGTGATAATGCAGATGATGGTAACTAGCTCTCGGTTTGTCATGGTGGCAATGGCTGGATTCGTGTGTCGCGGGCCGGAGCTCGGAAAACCATAAGTTTCAGCGCTTCTAAATGGGAGGGTGTCCGGCTCTGGATTTGAGGTTCAAGGTCTCTGGGGTCGCGGATGGGTACACCGTCTGCAGATGGATGGTCGGAGTTACGGCTACCAACATGGATAGGATTTAGGCTAGGACTGGGAGCGAAGATCGAGATATGGGGGTTTCCGAAAATAGGGAGGGCACCCTCATATAGTACCCTAATAGTAGGATCCTTATTTTCAGGACCCCCAAGAAAAGGTACCCTAAGTTTCGGAAACTCCCATATCCGGATTCACAGACAGCTGTGGCCACGGCTTCTTCTTCCACAGAGCTGCGGCCTCGCTCAAGTACTCGCTGGCTTCCTTAGGCGAGTCGACCAGGGCCTGGGGCCCCGGCCCCTTGCTGAGGAGCTAACCGGGATCTAAAGTAAACCATGGCTTGTCCTTAGATTGTGGTAACTTACATCAACTCCTTGAGCAAGGCCCCAGAAGTGGATTGCGCGAGCGCAAGAGCACAACTACATCTTGGAAATCGAATCTCGCGACAGTCACGTCGACGTGACGATCCAGGAATGCACGGGCCCGGGAAGCGGAGCACTAGGTCACCCAGCAATCTCAAAGCCCTGAGAAGCCCGAAGCCAGGCTCCAGGCGAGCACCGTGCTGAAGGTGATCTCACAGCAGAGGTCGTCGAAAAACAAGCGCAGGGAGCTGCCCTGCCACAATTGCTAAGATCAAGCCGGAAAAAATCCCAAAACCGCACCACACGCCCCACACCTCGTGCAGCATGGGCTCCGCTGTTTGGTGCTCCTTCCAACCAGCCTTTTTCAGCTCGTCCGTCCTGAGGCTCCAGGGAGGTGCGCCCTTCACTTGGAGCCTAAACTCGTCTTCCTAGGGCTCTGCTTGGCTCCAGTGACCTTAATCTACACGCAGATGGATCAGAAGAATGCTCAGCTCACATCCAATGGACAACAATGGAAACCTTCACAATAGCACCACACATGGAACCGTATGGAACCCTGATAAAGCCCCTGATAAAGCCTCTTATGCCCGGGAGCCATCCAAACCTGCGAGGTTGCCTCGTCGGCCTTTTGACTACTTCTCCAGACACCTGCCAGACAGGCAAGAACGGGGACACAGTGAGGGAGTCCAGGGAGCAAAGTGTCTCTGAGTCTGGAGCTCGTGGTGGGAAGTTTTGCGTGCCGGCAAACGATGTTTGGAAGTAGGAAGATTCGAAATCGAACAATTCATACGTAAGGCCAAAACCAGTACTTACCTTTCTGCCTGTCCCCTGTTTTGCATCAAGATGGAAGAAACAAAGCTGCACCCGATCTGTGGCTCCCACAGCACCTGAAGGGACAAATCCAATGCCTGAATCCCGAAACCAGACCTGGGCTCTTGTGCAGGAACCGAATTTTAAGCTAATTCCCATAATGGGGATCTATAGTAAGTATTATGGTTTCTTTCTTATGGCAACTTAAAAAGTAAATCCCTCAACAAGAACCCAGAATCAGAATCCTGGGAACCCGTGCCTTCATGAAGTTGTGCATCACAAGCCCGAAGTTTCCCTCGTGCCGGGCGATCTCGGCAGAGAAAGTTTCTTTAGGGTTTAGGGTTTAGGGTATAGGGTTTAGGGTTTAGGGCTTGGCTCCAGGGTTCGAAACACCCCCGGCCGAGCTGCCAAATCATACTAGGTCTAGCAGAGTCTAGCGAAGTTGTCCCGTTGCCCGAATCCGCCCACTACCAGTAGCTGGCTCCACAAGCAGAATTACAACAGACGACGAGAAAGACAAATCGAAAAAAATCAAAACATGACGACAACCGACGCACAATGACAAATTGGTAGCTCTCGAACGCGTCGGCGACTATCGTCATCTGCAGACTCCTTCATCAACTTCATGATCATCACCATCGCCATCACCATTACCTTCATGATCATCGTCAGCACTCTAACCGTAGCCAGCAGCAAATTCGTCGGCATGACCAATCCACAGCAACATCACATCACCATCATCTTCTTCTTCATCATCGTCATCGTCATCATGACATCTATCATAGCCGTCATTCATCTTCATCATCACTCACTGCGACTGCATTTTTACTACCCCGTCCTCAGCATACTCAATACCATTAACGGTAACGGGCATCCTGTCAGACGCACCACGACCACCACGACCGGCGACGATCACAACGACCACGACCACAACGACCACAACGACCACAACGACCACAACGACCACAACGACCACAACGACCACAACGACCACAACGACCACAACGACCACAACGACCACAACGACCACAACGACCACAACGACCACAACGACCACAACGACCACAACGACCACCACCACCACCGACACGACCAGTCGTCGTTGCAGCAATGTTGGTACCAGTCCGTTCATGGCAGCTTGTCTCGAGATTCTCACGGAATCACCGAGCGTCTAGTCTGAGAAAGTAGACACGTGAAGCTGCTCCTATTGTCGGAGCTGCTCTTGTTGCTGTTCGGTTCTTAGTAGTCACCTCAGTAGTGGTGGCCGAAATGCTACTGTTGCGTCGACTATGTGGCACAACAGTGTACATGCACAGCTGACTGCGCATCTACAATGATGGATCTTGTTGTCGCCCTTGTTGCGCTTGTTGTGATCGTTGCTGGTTGGCATGAAGACTACGGTTGTTGTTGCCATCCTGAGAATGAATACTGCGGGCATTTGAGCTGCAATTCTCCACAGACCGAGCCTCCTCTTCGCCATTGAGCCATCTGAGTGTGGCAAACGGCATTGTGTCTGTGTGTGGCGAGGTGTCAGTATGTTTGAGGCTTGAGGGGGTCTTGTGCAAGTCTCTTGGGTTCGGGAGCTGATGAAGGTGAGGTCGGGAAGTTCATGCGCGGCCATCATTTGCCAGGTCGTGCTTATGCGGCCAGCGCTGCAGGATGTTGCTGTGGCTCAGCTATATGACCGGGCAAAGAATATCTGCAAGCGTTCTGCGACTGCCGAGAATCAAGACTTCGTGCCTTCGTGGAAGCATGACGACCAGACACGTAATCTGCTTAACTTGGTGTGTAGCGGCCAGAACAGAGCCAAGAAAAGGAGAGATCCGGAGCTGTGTTCCGCAAGGTGAGCTTCGCGGCAAAGGCTTTTTCCCTAGTAGATCTAGCAGCTGCAAGTCGGTTTGCAAGCACTCCAACTGACTGCTCGTTGCGTTTTCTCCAATCAACGTAGGCACAAGTCTGACATGATCATCCTTCCGATATCACCGCAAAGGACGAGCCAAGTCACAAATTCTCAGTTTCTCCTTCAGCCTGCGCCGAAGCGTGCCAATGCAGCATGCCATGAGCTTCGGCCGGCATCCACCACGCAGGGACCAGTGGCAGTCCTACTCGGAGCCTCCGAGTCCTAAGCCGATCCTTTTCACTGCGGACTGGCGCTCAGAGAAGGCCCCAGAGCTGGACGCGAATCGAAGCGCGGGAGGCCACAGAAGCTTCGCCACCCATCGTCGAAGGCAAAGCGTACGGAGAGACGTGGGCAGCGGCTCGACCTGATGTTTCTGTGCTTCGAGCTCTCGGTCTCTCTCTTTGCTTCTCTCCGACCAACCTTGCACGACAAACTTGAAACTCTGAGGCCGCGACAGTTGGCAAAGCATGCCAAGAGTGCAGAGCGACGGTACGTGGCTGAGGTACACCTTCACGTGGCCCTCGAAATCCCCAAGCTGCTGCCGCTCGAGCGTTGAAGACATGGAGCGTAACAGTGCGAGCAAGGCCATTCTCTCCGCAAATCGCTCGCAAGCTGCAAAGGGCTTGAGCCAAGTCGCCAGCTCCTCCAAGGACTCTACATGAGTCTGGGGCTCAGAGACGAAGACTCGTCCCGGGAGCACGCACTCAACGCCGCTCGGATGCACGACCTTCCACTTCGCATAAGCGACGATGCTGTGCACACCGGGGATCTGCCATTCTCTCAGCACACTCCGACATTGCCACCGCGCCTCGCGCACCCAGCCGTGGTCGGGCGCCGACTCATCCAGAAAGCCCAGTGCTTGCAAGGCTTCCACGCTGTACGTTGGACCCAAGTTGCGGAGCCCCAAATCGGTCGCCTTAGACTCCAAGTCCTCCGCCGAGGTCTCCGCTCTCTGGAGGCCCCGCAGGGTCTCCAAGACCGGCTCCAAGAACCGCTCGCGGAAGCGTCCCTCCACAGCCACAAGGGAGGGGTCCCCAGTTGTCTCGTGGGGAGTGGCCTTGCAGACGTTGGCGAAGTCCACCCAGGAAGCTCCCGGAGGCGCGGCCCGAGTCGTCTCCAGGAAGCAGCTGGCGGCATGGCAGAGCCAGGGCTCTGAGGGGTTTCGCAGAAGGCCGAGGAGGCCAAGTCCCCAAGCCATGTTGGCGATCTCAAGGCCACTCAGACTGAATGCTGCCATGAGCACCGATGCCCGACGCATCAAAGCTTCGAGGAGCCAGGGTTGGCGTAGGCCCAGCACGGCCCAAGACCAGACGAGGTTGGCAGTTGCCTGGCCGTCCAAGTCCTCGATTTTCCGCAGCACTTCCCTGGCGATGGCAGCCATCATGTCCTCATTCAGCAGGCCGAGTTTGGCAAAAGACCAGGCGACCATCGAGAGGTTCTGAGGGAGCAGTGTTGCAACTCGCTCCTGCACTGCCCTGGCCATGGCATCGAAGAGGCCCTCGTCGGTGAGACCGAGCTTGGCAAAAGCCCAGCACATGTTCGACAGGTCCTGCGCTTGAAAGCTCCCCATCTTCTGCTTCGCTTCCATCGAGATCGCACTCATCATCACCGCATTTTCAAGGCAGGCCGTCGCGTAGGCCCAGGAGATATTCGACAAATCTTGGGCCGAAAAATCCCTAACGTTCTTCGTCTTCGTCATCTCCCAAGCGAGGGCCTCAAGAATCTCCTCCGACTCACGGCCACCCTGAAGATGAGCAAAGGCCCAGGCCAAGACGGCGAGATCTTGCGGATTCAGGGCCTCCCTCCGCGCCTTCGTTTCTGCCACCGACTCTCGGATGAAGCCTGAGCTCTTCAGGGCCAACTTCGCCATGGACCAAAGGAGCATCGAGAACTCCTGGTTGCTGAAGCTCCTCATGTTTGCTGCAGCCGCTGCTGCAAGATCCTCCAAGACCTCGCTCTTAAAGACCTGTTTGGCACAGCCCATGGCCACATTCGCCAAGCCCTGGGGTCCTAGCTCCCCGAGCACGCTCGGCATGTGAGCCATCAAGGCCGCCATCATCGGCTCCTTTCGGAAGCTGAGGCATCCAAAAGACCAGACCGACATGGCGAGGTTCTGTGCAGGAAAGCTTTGGGCTTTCTCACAAACATCCGCAGCCAAGGCTTCCAAGAGCGGAGCATCTGCCCACAGCAGCTTGGCACAAGACCATGCAAAGTTCGACAAGTCTTGACAGTTGAACTCGGACCTGTCCGATGCTTTGTTGCTGAGAACCCTCAAGAGCTTCGCATGGTAATGGCTGGAAGTCCCACATGCCCACATCACGGACGAAGCGTGCTGCGGATTGAATTCCGCCTGTTTGAGCATGACGTCAGACGCAACCAGGTCGAGCAGGTCTCGTGTGAGCAGGGACAGCTTGGCGAATGCCCAAACAACGCTCGCTGAGTTTTGTGGGGAGAACCTTCGCAACTTCTGCTTCACTACCTGGGCGCCCTTGTCAAAGAGATCTGCCTTCACGGACGCAAGCTTTGCAAAGCCCCAGAGAAGGTTCGCAACGCCCTGGCAGCTCCAACCATCAATCGTTGATGTCGCCTCTCCGGCCGCTGTATCCAACATAGGTTCTGAAGAGAACTGAATCTTCGCACAGGACCATATCAAGTTCGAAACGTTTTGTGGGTCCCAGCCAGCACCACCAAAGCAAAAGGCTTCGCAGATTCCGGAGAACAAGGTGGGATCTGAGTGCTGGAGTGTGGCAAAGGACCAAGCAATGTTGGCAAGCCCCTGGGGATCGAATGCATCCAGCTTTGCTACAGCAACCCGGGAGACACTGTGCAGGAGTGGAGTGCGGCAGCAGGAAAGCTTTGCAAGAGACCAAACCACGTTGCTGAGTGCCTGCGGGTCGCTTTCAACCACTTTTGCAGAGAATGCATCCAGGAGCCCCTGCAACAGAAGTGCCGACGGCGGTGCAAAGCCAAAGCTCCAAATAATATTGGAAAGGCCTTGAGGTTCAAACTGATCCAAACGGGAGAATATTGCATCGGCCATACCTTCTTCAACCGCGAAATCTCGGAACTGCAGGCGTCCGATGGCCCACTGGATCTTGGCTATATCTCGGACAGACGCTCCGTCAGGCGCACTCACGGCCTCCTTGGAACAAGTTTGGAAAGCCTGAAAAGCCTGCACAAGCGTGAGCATGGGCCTGGGACGCCTAGGACACCCCAATATCGCGGCAAGTCGCGACCGCTCTCTGGAAAAGGTCCTTCAACCGTGGATCGCTCTTCACCTGGCGCTGAGATCTGATCCCTGCAGATGCGCTGTAAGGGTAGAAGTTTTAGCATAAGGAGCAAGATGTTGGCAAGATTTTGCCTTCACCCGACCAACTCAAGATTCACACCCCCCACGAAACGCTTAAGACCAGTCCGAGCGACTACATCTCAGCGAAGGGCACTCAACTCTGGGGGTTATTCTCCAAACTCCATCTTGGCACAGCACCTCACCTCAAGCCACGCAGAATCAGTGAATATCTCAAAACCCAGCCGGGTGCCTGCCAACGATCCGCAGACTTCGCAACCCGGTGCCTCGGCCAAAACAAGTTGAGAGCTCGTCCTTTCAAAGGGCTTCACTCTACTTCTCCAGCGTCGAGTGTGGGGGTTGGAGATTGCGCCTGAGGCTGAAAACAAGGCCTCACGGATTCAGGCCAAGACGTTCGGCATCTTAAAAGTTACTCCGTGCAAGTCTAGGACATACGGCAGCAGCAGTAGCACAGCAGCAGCTGCAGCGGCGGCACAACACGACGACGTCCACAGCTCCTCGCATTGCTACAACTCAATCTTCGTCGCCTTCAGAATATTACAACTCAAATCCCCGCAGGCAGGCTATAAGCTACATACCACCACATCCACCACGACCACCATCACCACCACCACCACTAGACCACCACCACCACCACTAGGCCACCACCACCAGCACCACCATTATTGCAACCCCCATTAGCACCATCATCACCACTATACCTTGGGTACGGCCCCCATACAGTAAGAGTCTATAATAGGGCTACTATTAAGGTCCTAATATATCTATATTATGACTATGATTCAACTATTACTGAGTGGGGGCCGTACCTAAACTATACCACCCACCACCAGCAACATCAACACCAGAACTACCTGCCACGATATCACTAAGAGCACCACCATCAACAGTCCTGCTGAGTCGTGCTGCTAAGTCCGTCCATACTTGCCTTAAGCTTCAATTTCAGCAAAGCCGAAACCCCCAACGCTGCTCCTTGCTTACATGCTGCAAGTTTGTGATCACATTGGTGACGTCGAACTCGGCAGATCTGCTCTGCGCGAAGGCGAGGAGCTCGCGGGCACTCCACAGCGTTGAGAGTTGCCTCGGGCACTCCACCACTGGCGATAAAATACCTTAAAAGCAAACCAAACAGCAAACAACAAGAGACTACAACCCCCGCAGTTCGTGCTAATCATGCCAGAACCGCGTCTCTGTCTTCAACATGAACCAACATCAAGAGCTTGTGAGAACAATGTAGCCTTTCCAAGTTGCTTGTTGATCCGAACTTCATGCTGTCCATCCTGAATTCATCATTCGGGACTTCGAGTAAACTATCGGCTTCGCGGCTTGCCCTGTGAAACGAAATACCGAAGCCGAGCAGTAACAAGAGAGCGAGGAAACACAGCACTTGGTCAGCGCAACAAACATCACTCCGGACTGCAGAATACCCATATCGCACCGGATGCAGGTTGCCATATCCGGTCCTAGGAATCTTGCTAAGGAACTGTAACTGGCGCAGATGCAAGCTGCGGATCTTCGAAAAATCGAAAGCCAAGTTCAAGCGAACTCAGGATGTGGGGGTTGTCCCACGGCACGGACGGTCCTTTTTGAGAAAAGCCAGCTCTTTCTCATTGAGAGGATCAGCCGTCCAACTCAGTGAACCGCACACCGGCATCTGGCATGGCTTCCTTAGACACAAAAATCAAGCGTGACAGCAATTCTTTATTTCACATGTGTCTCGCAAGATTTTGCATCAAATTGGCTCTGAACCCTTTCCGCCCGTCGACTGAAATTCATCTCTCCTCATCCACCAAGTCGCAAATAGAAAAGCACATTGTCACTTGGTGCTCCGAACACCCCCTGTCGCGGCGCCGGTGCCTCCAAAGCTTCTGCGAATTAGTTCCATGGGCATGTGTGCCTGGCACTATGGCTTCCACAACAGCCACCAACACGAAGACGAGGAACTGCCAGCGACACCACCACTACGACGACCACTACTGCCAGCAAAACCACTGCGACTGCGACTGCCGCTGCAGCTACGGCTACGGCTACTGCTACCGCCGCGGCTGCTGCTGCCGCTGCAGCTACGGCTATCGCTACTACTATGCTGCTGCTGCTTCCCTCCTGACTTATCAGCATGAATATCTTGACAATCAACTTCTTACTTATTGTTGGTATGACCGCTGAGGCTCAATAAGATCACTGGTACCATTGACCCACACATTTCTGCTGATCCAAAGCCAATGTAGAGTAGAGTTTACGTCAACACAAAGTTGAGGAAGAAAAGAGCTGCCTGGCAAAGCCTCAACATGAATCCAGAACCCTGCCTCTAATGATGAGCAACGACGAATACAGGTAAACATTGCAGCACAACAGAATGACAAGAACACAAGTCAGAATTCACAGGAACCACAGCAGTCCGTAAATTCGCAGGACAAACGATGTGGACTGGATCTTCACTCCGGCACTCACACCGCTCGGCCAAAGCTCCGTGTGAAAGGTTGCATGAGACGCTGCAAAATCCAACATCTGACTTTAAAATAAACTTTACAGGCAAAGCACTGCAGAGATCAAAACAGCTTGAGCCCCCAACCTCGTCTCCAAACGGTATCCATTCCTCGCAAGACGAGGCGCAGGGCAAAACAGCTGCCAGATTGAAAAGCAACTTTGAGAAAGAGCCACTTGAAGCCACTCAAGCTGGCACTAAAGCCTAACGCCTGCGAGTCAGTGACGACTTCAGACTTCAGCGAACGAAACCATAGCCCGGCAAAAGCTCAAGACCCAGACGTGGAGATTCTGTATTCCAGCATGGACGGCTAGAGGTCTCGATGAAAGATCTGAGAGCACAGCCCCGCCTTGCTCGGCAGGGTCGACAAAAACTTGGAGAAATCATCCCCGAGTTCCGGATCGTGCTCCTGACATACGCACACACGCAAACACACAGCGAAGTGCAAGCATGCGGGAACAGTGTCGTGGTTGCATGTCACAAGTTGGTCCCCTTGTCCTTGCAGGACTCTTCCCGGAATCCAGATGCGATGGAAAAGAGGCGATCTTGCATCTGCCCGCATGCTGCAAGCTGTAATGACGCTACAACCGGCAGCCCACTAAAACAAACAACGACGAAAGAATACAATGCCTCAAAAATACTTGGAATCAAAGGCATGACCTGACATATCGTGTCACATCTCAAAACGCAGGTTGCTGCAAACATCTGCACGCGAGCCAACCAAAGGATGTTCCTGCAAAGCACAGCATGCGTACCCTTCTTCATATGCGTGGTTCAACTTGTCATGAAGAACCAGAAAATCAATGCACGTGGCAGCGATCATCTGAGAAAGAATAATTGAGTTTCCTGTCTTCTAGAAATTGAAACTATGATTTTGATCAAGATTCCCTTGATGCATGAAAACATACGGAGGTTATTTTCTATATATTCTAAGGAGTCCTGATTTCTTTGCTCTATGGTTCGATAGGAAATATTGCTGATTACTATTATTGCTAATAAGTCAAGTATACCACGATTATGGTTATATTCATTGCAGAAATTGTCCTTACCCCTTGTGCTATGAAGAGAAGAGTATTTATGTCTATTCAAATTACATATCTTAAGCAGTTCGACAACCTCAGAATCCAGAATCAGAGTCTGCTGTCGAGATCGATTTGTTTATCTCTGCATGTATGAAGTGCAGAGCATCTCGTAAGTACCGATAGATTCGGATTCCAGGGCTAAGCATCTTGGGATAGAAGATTACACAGGATCAATGAGAAGAAAAGTGGATCATGGGGAGGGGTATGACCAAATTTTTCTAATAAGCGTTAGAGTACCGAATCTTCTATGAATCAATAATATCTAATGCTACGAAATTTCAGTTTGCCCATATTCATGACGGACGAAAAATATTTAAATGTGTCTATTCAACTTTCTTGAATATATGATCAATGATGTCTTAAAAATGAATAATTAGTATGCTTTGATATTTCGACCAAATAGATCGTCGTTCAAAAAACGAATCATGCAATATGAGTGATGGAGGCCAGCGCCCGTCCCTTAATAGATTTAATGATAGATATATTAGGCTCATATCATATTATCTGTCGAAATTGGAGATAAGAATCTATCAATATTTTAGGCTAGCATGTCGATATATTCAGTTAGCATACGAAATAACCACTTTGAAGGTCTATTTGATGCATCGAGTTAGATCTCTTGTTTGAAAATAATTCAGTTAATCTAAATAGTTTAAACATAAACTGTTCGAAGTATCTAAGGGATTTAAAGTATTTCTATTATCGACTGATTCAAATATTTTACACATTGGACTTCAATATCTTTCAAGAACTTTCAACCTGATTTAAACAATTCAATAAATTAGAGTAGATTATATCAATTTAGGAACGGAAATATTATGAAACTATGAATAATAAAGATAGTTTAAATACGGTTATTCAATTATGTAATTTAACTAAATCGTTGTGAAAAGAATTGATTAAGGAGCCGGAGCCAATATTTAATTTATTTAAAGTCTTCCTCTCCCAAATAATTTAAGTAATTCCAATAAATTAACTTATGTTTGTTTATATCTTTGGGATTTCCACCCTGATTTTTAGTAGTTTAACAAATTTGAATGTTTTGGATATTAATACTAGTTTAAGCGTGAACATCCTGAGCTCCGCTCAGGTACGAGCCTTGGCGCAGCTGCTGGTGTTGACAGCAGTGCAGTGCAAGATCGCGCCGTAGGCGCAACAGGCTCTCAGGCATGGCCCCTCTTTTAAGGATGACACGCACAACACGAGAACATCCAAGCAGTATCCGAAGTAGCATGTGACGAGAGAAAGTTTGTACAGTATACAGTAGCTTTCGCGCAAGTGTATCTTCGTATGATCTTGGTTGCCTGTGCCTAAAAGAAGTGCGCTCTAACCCTCACAAGGGTTATGAGCCCAACGCTCTAAATCCTGTGCCGCTATGGAACACAACCTTGAAACGCCTGCTGCTGGTTGGGGTGAGTCTGTTACGCAAGCGCTGCAAATGGGCGAAGAATCCGAAGTTTCGGCTATGGATCCTTTGCTGCTCGGTGGTGTTAGCGATGATGCTGCAGAGCCTAACTATGCAGATGCACTGGCATCTCAAGGTGATGAGCCAAATAGAGGTGGTCTAGAGCAAGCACCAACCCAAGTGGGTAATCAGCCGCCGCCGGTACAGATTGCCAGAGCTTCTCCGGCATCGCCTGGTCACAGTGAGTTGTCACGCATGGAGGGCGGGGGTATGGCTGCAAAGTGGGATCCAGACGAAGATGAGCTGGTTCCGGATTATGCTAGCATGCCAGTTGTCCCAGAGGGCAGTGGCTCGCACCTCCAAGGGTCTAAAAGGGCGGAAGATATTCAGATCAGGGGTACCGCTCGCGCCGCAGCTATGGACGTTGATGAGCCTAGTGCTGAGGTAAGGGTCAATCCTGAGCGAGGGTTGGAAGTGGAAGCAGCGGTACAACGGCAGGTTTTGAGCATCTTCCAAAGCCAGGTGACTCCATTGTTGGGGCAACTCATGGATCGACTAGAGGCTATGGAAGCGAGACAGAGCGCTCAACATGACTTGGCGAGCGACTTTCAGAGGATGAGGTTGGGAGTTGAGTCGGCAGCATCGGCGGTAGCTCCAAGAACGTCTGTAGAGGCTAGGGTAGAGCATGCATTTCCGGGGCTGCCCATTGTGGATAACTCCCAAACCCCTCTGTCTCCAGCTGGTGCATCCGGGGGCGCTGATCCTAGCGCGGGGTCTGGTGAGGAGAAATCTGGGTTGGTGACGGTGTCGGGAGTTGAACACGCCTGGCGCTTGACGTCGGAAAGTCTACAACTTGAACCTACCACGAAGCCCAACTCCGAAGCTAACGTATTTGGTTCGAGAGCTTCGTCCCCATTTCAGGCTGTTCATTCTGAGGTTAAGCCACAATCTGCAGGAAATCGGCCCCCGAGGTCCAGAAGTGGTAGTCCGGTTAGGCGTAGGGGGTTGTCTGAAAGTCCCGTAGCTTCAAAGAGAGCTCTGAGGTCATTGGTTGCATCGGCATCGGATCCCACCCATAACCCTTGCTCTCATGCTCCGGTGGCTGCTGCTCCTGAGGTCTTGCAAGCTCCGGGTGCAAGGACAAGGTGATCAAGCCTACGATTGTTTATCCCATCTCTCCAGGTGGCACTGATATCCGACCGCCGCCAATTGCGGCTGCTCCGAAGTCTCCTGATGTAAAGGCCCCGCAACCTGCAGTGTCCCCACCTTACCCCTGGCCGGCAAGCAATCTACCCAGAAGCCTTCCATCATTGGCTCCACCGGAAGTTCCAAGCGAAATGCGGGGAACTAGTGTGAGAGTTGAGGGCGATTCCTTCACAAACGATTGCAGTGGTAGGTTAGGCTCTGCCGGTGGGAGTTCCGAGGGACGCGAAGGTTAGGAGTGGTTCTATAATGGCTTGAAACGGGTTTTCGCCACACATGGTGGAGACCATGACGGGAGAGCTGAGGAGGTGAAAACTTCAACGGCTGAGCTTCAGAAGCTGGTCATTCATGACGGGGATAAGGAGGTCTCGCCTCTTCTAGCTGGTGACTGGCTCACTTTGGCAGGTCCGGTCATGAAAGATTTAAGTCCAAATAGCGCTGAATGGTGGAAACAAGTACTTCAAGCATCGACTGATCATTACCAGCGTTGGTTAACCTCAACTCCTGTTGAAAGGCTTTCTCTCAGACCCAATCAGCCTCATAGATTCGAAGGGACGCGATTCTCTCGTGTAGAACAGCGAGGATTGCACCTGATCCTTAAAGCCATTCCCAACTCCTTGAAGGAGGAGCTGGTAAGCACCCAACGGATGTCCTGCATTGATGCGGCCGCGAAGATCTTTTGCACCTATCAGCCGGGTGGTTTAAAGGAGCGTTCGGCTTTGTTGCGGTTTCTCACTACACCAGAATCGTCTTCCGAGGTGAGCGTAGCGCTTAAGCATTTGAAACGGTGGGCTAGGTGGTATCGTAGGGCTGAAGACCTACAGGTCTCATTGCCGGATTCCACATTGCTTCTGGCAGGATTGGATCTTCTTACCAGTAAAGCGCTGAGCAAGTTTCCGGAAACCCAATTCAGGCTGTCATCTTTTCGGTATTCGCAAAACATTGACATGGTTCCTACATCAGAAAAGGTTTATTCCCGGAACTCGATTCCGCAATCGAATCATAATCAATGCAATCGTATATCCATCGCTGTATTCCCCAATACACTTATGTGGGAAGACGAATATAAAACAGCATATGAAATTGGACGCACAACGTGAGGATTTTCGCACATGCGATCTGGGATTCGAGCATTCGTGAAACACATCCTGCATGACACAAGCAACATCACATAAACCGCCCCATTGGGCAGTGACCATTGTCACGAAGCGAGGACCATATCCCCGGGTTGGGCGGGCGGGTGTCAAATTTGCCCATTCAAGGAGGCGCTCCCTCCCACCCACCCTTGATCAAGAATTGCAAGTCACAACATTCGTTATGCCAAGAGCATAAGAGTCATCAAAGGAACTTGCAGCAAAAGAATGGTTCAAAACAAGTGATTGAAAAACGTGATTGCGAAATCAAGTTTTTGGCCAATGCCAAAAAGCATCGTCCGGGTATAAAACATTAAGAACTTCGCTCCGCTCCGTTCTGAATCTGCTTATTCCCGGAACTCGATTCCGCAATCGAATCATAATCAATGCAATCGTATATCCATCGCTGTATTCCCCAATACACTTATGTGGGAAGACGAATATAAAACAGCATATGAAATTGGACGCACAACGTGAGGATTTTCGCACATGCGATCTGGGATTCGAGCATTCGTGAAACACATCCTGCATGACACAAGCAACATCACATAAACCGCCCCATTGGGCAGTGACCATTGTCACGAAGCGAGGACCATATCCCCAAGTCAAGACGAGCGCAGTAATTCGCCCGTGGCAAAACAAGCAGGATGGTCCCGGATCGCATGTTCGCACATCGGAAAGATCCAGCAGCCCCTCGACGGGGGATCAGCGGGATTGGACTGAGAAGGCACACGAGCATACCACCCAATGCAAGGCTTGGCATCGGCCCTTTCAAGATGTATAAGCAGAGTCCTCCACAGCTCGTCCCTAGATGTGCAATTGATGGTAGCGGCGAGCACTCCCACGTGATCGATGAAGTAAAGCACCCTTCGATCGTCGAGGAGTCGACCCCAGACGAATCTCGCGAGCACCAAAGCATACAACTCAACAAGCCCTATCAGGTGTTTCTTGCCGCTCTCGGCCCATAGGTCGACCAGGGAGTCACTCAGCGTGACCCCGAAGTATCGGACCTTTACAGCCCCATTCCAAGAAGCATAAAGTACTCCCCCAACGGTGCAGAGCGATCGAGCAGCACCAGGCTCGCATGCGCCATCAGTGTAAACAACAAGTGAGGGTCCAGAGCTTCCAACCTGTATGCGCCTGGGCTCGCCAGCATCCATGCGCATCTGCAAGACAGCAAAGGCCTCGCGATCAGTAGAAGAAAGTCGATGAACTCCAGAGCCTCGCGAGAGCTTCCTAAGCGTGCTTAAAGCTAGTTTGCCCCTGCGGCCCATGATTTGGGAATCGGCACACTGAATCCTTCCAAACAAGCTGTCGACTTCTCTGACCACTACCTGGCCATCCGATAGGACTTTAGCGACCGACTCGGAAATTTCGCGAGCCCTGTCAGGCTTGTTGGCAACAGTGATGCAAGAAAAATCCTTAGCCCTAAGGTCCAAGCGAACCTCCAAGAGATCGGCCACCGAAGAAAAAGGCAACTCCTTGTCCTTCGAGCAGATCACGCCCAGGAGGCACATGAGCTTGCGGATTGTCTTCTCGGTGTTGGCCGAAAGCATACTCACATCGAGCACTGGGTAGTCGTCATAATAGTTACAGGCCAGGCAATCTAGCTCAATAAGGATGCAGTGAATCAAGCGGGCAACGCGATTGAACAGCCCTACGCTCGCGAGCGAGCCGAAGGGTAGGGTATGTGAAATGAAACCGACGGCTTGCCCGTCGGAGGGCCGCTGGAGGCTGACCACACACCTCTTGCTGTCACATGGCCTTATAGCATACTGTTTGTGAGCAGACTTCAAATCCACGCACTTCAAGACGGAGCGCGCGGACTCAGGCTGCGTGCGCCACACGGTATGCAAAGAGTCGCTGATCACTTCACCAGAAGAAAGACGAAGGTTGACAAATCCTCGATCAACGATGGATTGCATGAGCCTCGATGTTATCCAAAGGAGTTCATCTATCGCACGCAGGTCAATCTTTTCTGCCACTTCCCAGGACGAGTTGACACTGTTCTCAGACAAATCGTCAATGCACCTCAGCTTCCCTTGTTGGAAAATCGCGAACCTCCGTACAGGTATCCAGTGCGGATCCAAAATCTCAGTGAGCTCCTGGTAGCTATATGGGCCGCTCAGCCAGGATTTCTGATCCCTCTCAGCAAGAGTTTGGCTCCAAAGCTCGGCATCTCGTCAGCTGCGCATATCATTGATTGTATTGACTTTGGGGAGCGTCTGGTGGAGGACCGTTTCGGAACTTGTCCAAAGCAGCTGTGTGTTCAGATCTGGTAGAGATACCTTCCAGAAACTTCCACTGCTCTTGTATGATCTGTTCCGGCCGACTTTCTCGATACCATAACTCTGCATGGCTTGATCTGCTTTGTTCAGATGCTAGAGTCACCTCTGGAAAAATTCCCTGTCTTTGTACGATCTCAAAGCCTATCAGAAATCTTAATCATGTTGTTCAGCTTGACGGAGTGAGTGCCGTCGAAGAGGGCTCGAACTGAGCCATCATCCTTTATGATGGCTCCAAGACTCGCCACTTGCAGCGTCTCCCCAAACCGCCGCCGCGCCTCCTTCTCAGACAGGGGGTACATGAATCCAAGAGCCTCCTCTTCCTCGAACTGTTTCTCCAGCTGCTCAGGCACGGCCTTGGCCGATCATTGATCGCTTGGAATTCTGACTCATCATACTCTCGCCACTTCCCCTTCGGCCCTTCGGCCTGAAGACCGCCACTACGCGAGGAAAGGGTCGATCCACTCCCAATCTCCGCCCACGAGCATAGTTGTCCTCTGCACGAGTGAGAACTTCCCAGTCTTCATCTCCCACAGCCCGACAAGTCTGCGAGAGCGCCTCCAAGAAGAATGGCTGCCCAGGTTCCTGGAGAGCGGCTGCCGCAGGATCTTCTCGCAGTGCAAACCAAGACCTACGGAGACGACCCATGGCCTGAACAGAGAAAGGTGCTTCCTCATACTTGCCCAAGGCCAACATGAAATACGCCCGCTGAGGGTCCACGATCTCTGCTCTGATGAAGTCATCAAGAGGCCCCGACGAGCGTTCACGAATTCAGGACTCCCTGGAGAGCCCCCTGCCCGGTGCGGTCGGGCGCCAGCGACCCCGGACTGTGAAGTCCACAGCCATCAACGAAGGAGTGAACCTTGCCTCGCCACTGGACGGTGATCGGATCGCCGAAGTTGTCCTGAGTCTGGACTAAGTGACCATGGAAGGTGTCACCCTCCTCTCGAATCCCCCGAGAAGCCGGACTGATGGTGTAAGGCCGGCTGTCTGCGACACATTCTGCAATCCTAAGAGCCTTTCCAGTTCGGTTAATGTATTCGCAGCTGCTTCCTATGTGCAGCTTTATATGTAAAGCATATACATATAAAGCAAATGGAAAATATTCAAATGGAATTGATGCAGTCACTCGCAAAGCACTCGTTCCTTTGTTCTCTGGCGGGAATGCAGATCGTGCTGTCCGAGCAAGGAATGGACCTTGCAGTGAAACTGATCTGCATGTTTCCCCCATCCGGTGAGATCTAGGTGCATCAAAAGGCACCGACCTGTCACCGATGAAGGAATGCAGAAAGGTCATGCTTCTTAGAAGATGGCCACAAAAGGATCGCTGGATGCAGATGCAAGCATCAGGAGCCAGCAATGCAAGTAAAGTTGTGACCCCCACAATGCAGATGCCAGCACTGTACTCCCCAAACAAAGGGAAGAGGTGGGTGGGACAAATTTTTCAGCCTGCGATGCAGGCGAGCTGGCAGCTGCGAGCCTGCTTGCTGCAATGTACATGAAGTGTCATGAAATGCAGCAAGCATGCAAAACATTACCAAACACTCGTGAGCAAGCACACATACCGTTCGGTTAATGTATTCGCAGCTGCTTCCTATGTGCAGCTTTATATGTAAAGCATATACATATAAAGCAAATGGAAAATATTCAAATGGAATTGATGCAGTCACTCGCAAAGCACTCGTTCCTTTGTTCTCTGGCGGGAATGCAGATCGTGCTGTCCGAGCAAGGAATGGACCTTGCAGTGAAACTGATCTGCATGTTTCCCCCAAATGCAATCTGCCAGAGAACCGAAGTCGCGCATCAATTCCCCAAATGAAAAACGTGCGACAAGGTGATTAGAGTGCTGCTCCTAAAGGAGAGCTACTCGGGATGCAGAAAGAAGGCTTCCAGGATGGAGGCGAAATCGAAATAGAAGGCGAGGCATGCCAAAGTGCCTTCAATGAAATGCGACGCCGTCGGGAAAGGCTCCAACGAGCTGGCAAAGCAGCCGGTGGAAGCCAGCGACTCAAAAAGTCTGCTTCAGTGTTCTTTGGACCTGCAATGTGATGTACATCCAAGTGCACACCAGTAAAACTGCTTAAAATGGCCAGTCGCTGCACAAATGCAGCGAGAGGCCAAGACGTAGTAAAGAGTTTGTTGGCAGTGGCTTCAGCACCACTGTTGTCACACCAGGAATGCATGCGAACAGACAATTTGCAACCTGGGCTTAGTGCACTCAAAAGCCAGACTAATGCAATCTGACCGAGGCACTCATAACAAGTAATGTCCTTGTGCGCCTCAGATTTCAATGGAAGCTCTGCGAATGCAAAATCCTCCACAGTAAAGCATTCTGAAAACCAGAATTCACCACCTGGCAAAACAATGTAGCCGCCTATGGCAAAAGTGCGGCCATTGCCCATGGCATCAGCCGCTGCCTCCACTTGTAAATGCTCCATAGGGCGAAGCGATCGCCAAATGGGAGGCAATGCAGACCAATCAAGCCAGAACTGCAACAGACTTCTGGAGGATGGGCTCAATGCACGACGCTTAGATGCAGAGTCAGCAATGCGAAGCCATATATCCTTATCCCCCAGGTTGCAATGTAAAAGTTCTCGCTTGGTGGAGACCTTGTGATGTCTCACAGCAAGAACACGGCTGCCTACCGTAATCGCCGATCCAGGAGGTAACTTGACCAAATGTAAAGTGTCATTCAAGCAAGAAATGAATGATTGCCAGTCGTTCTGTCGAACACTGAAGTTGGTTGCACGTGGAGTGTTGAGGTCTTGATAAAGAGACCTCAGCCATGGCCTAGCCAATGGAAAAAGTTTGAAAAGCCACTGCAACATGCCGCATAACTTGCTCAATGTAGCCCGATCAGTGTACTTGCCACGGAGGGCCGACACGATAACCGAATGCAATCTTTCAAGCTTGTCAGATGGGATGCAAACACAACCCATACTGAAATTGAGCTCCCATCCTATCCACCGGATGGAGCAGCCAAACTGTAATTTCTTCCAGGATAAGGGGATGGAAAAGGCCCCGCAGAAACATAAAGTAATGCAAAAGCTCATCTCTGCAACTGATGCAGATTGAAAGCCAAGTAAGTCGTCCACATACATTGCTAGCCAGTGGGCAATGAAAATCAAGCGATGAAGGGTGCGAACAAAAAATGCACCGAGTCGAGCAAACCAGAAAGCGGAAAAAGCTGCACCGAATGGACAAACTGTATAGAAATAGAGCTTGGGACCCACTCGAATACCAAGTAGTCCTTGTTCAGACTCGCGAACCATAATGGACTTGTGGGCTGCCTGAACGTCAATGGACCAAGCTGCCAGGGGTTCTAGCTTTCCCCGTAATGGCCAAGAGGCTTGGATAGTTTGCAACGTAGGCAATGCAGAGCGCTCAGGAATAAGGCAGCAGGCATTTGTACCACAAATGGAAGAATCAACAACCAAACGAGGTTTTCGCCCCTCGGAATGTACAATATTCAGCTTGCCAACAGCAACATTGGGCCAGATCTGGCGTGCAGTTTCCAAAGAATCAATGCACCGTAACCAGCCTTTGTCCACCTCGATCTGCACCAGTTCCTCCAGGAGGACTGGGTCGTCTTCAGCCCCCTGCCAATTTTCTTGACAGACAGTCAATGCATCATCTGAAGCTGAGCGACCAGAGGGAGCAAACACCCCGGAAATGGGTATATCGTGCTTGAAGCCAGTAGGCACTCCACTGAGCAATGCACTGAAGAGAGTCATATCAGCATCTTTAAGAGCTGAAGACAATGCAGCCAGGGAATGCAAGCAGTATGGCTGACCATCCTTTACCTGCCAATCAATGGAGTTGCAACCTTGGGACTCCAGCCAAGTGCCGAAAAGTCCACGGATTTCCTTCACCTCAGTTTCCGAGAAGCAAGCTTTGCCACACCAAGCAATTAAGGCATGGCGGAGCGATTTGAAGATATCATCAGTGGACCGCTCCTGGCCACTCCAATCTGGACGGCTGTGAAGTCCGCCACCATCCACCCAAGCATGTGGTGGAGAGTCAGTAGGCTTCTCTGGAATGCAAGACCAAGCCTCATCAATGGAAAATTCACATTGACCTGAGCATTTGCGAAGTTTGGATATCAACAGGATATCGCAAAGAGCATCCACGAATGCAGGAGGATAGTCAGAGATCGTGGAAGTCGAACGGCAACGACTACATGAGCATGTGTGCCCCAATGCCGAAAAGGAAGGCGAAGAAGAAACCATGATCCAGGGGCAACCACCAACCCCTTTGTAGGCACACGCCGGCACCTGCACAAGGTGCTGCAGACCAGTACAAATGCAGTGAAGAAACAGTTGATCCGACCAGCACTGGGTCCAACCAGAAATATCAAAATGCACTGCAGAGCCTGCCGAATAAGCAACTTTGCAGAGTTGCAGCACCCAGCGAGTATGACTCTCGCTCCAGTCAGGAGAGTACACAATGAAAATGGAAGGGAAAACACCTTCACCCGCACAACGAAAAATGCAGTTTCTGGCATGCTCCTGATCCAGAGACTGAATGCAAACATGAGGAACTCCAGCAGTTGAGAGGCCAGCACGAAGTACCTCAGCGTGTTGTGAAGCCAGCAAAAGGCAGAATTTCTTCGGAAGAACGGGCTGAGGCAGTTCGACCGCCTGAGTTTGAGGCATCCGACGAGGTAAGGATTCGCCAGGTAGGGGAAACCCCCACATGCGCAATGCATCAACATCTGATGACTGAAATTCCGCCAAACGCCTGCAGGTGTAGGCCGTGATGACCCACCTGTCGCCCACGAAGGGCTCAGTGGCGTGCCAAAGACCACCATCAAATGCAAGGGGAGAAGACCTGGTGTCAACCAATGAAAAGTTGATGCACTTCTGTAAGGCTTCGACTCGCAAGGATTTATCGCCCGATGAAGATTCCAGCAGTAAACCTCCGCCCGAAAAGTCCCCCAGGGCAACAGTGTAGTTGAGGGTGCCGGGCTCGTTAGATGTATCGCGATGAACTTTTAGCACCTCGTTGTGAGAGATGCATAGAGAAGTCCATGTACCCAATGGAAAGAGCATGCATAACCAAGCATTAAGTCGGCACAAGATGTGCTGGAATTGGAATGTATGATGTGTCAATCCAAAACGCACCGACTGCGAGAAACCACCGAGGTTAAAGTAGGCGGCATCTGCACGGTCCCCCTCAATAGCCTGCCATCTGTACTTCACAGTTGTTGATGTAAAGGACTGCTGAAGCAAGTCAAGAATGTCAGCATCAGAGGTAGCTGTATGACCTGCCGATGGAACAGGTGAGGGTGCATGTGTTGAAAGCCCGGAAAACTGTCCCTCCACAGGTTTCGGGCTGTTTCAGGACTTGTGCATGTAAGCTGGATGGTCCTTCCCGCAAGGTCGGCCTCCAACGTCAACAGCACAACCATGTACGAATGTACAGTCATCCAACTTGCAGCCAGAACGAAGGTTCCATCGCTTGCACATCTGCTTCTGAACTCCGTTCTCATAAAATGAAACCATCCACTTGGGGCCATTCTGGTCGCGGGTGTCCTTCGATTTACCATTCTTGCCCTTGCCCTTGCCGCCTTTGCCCTTTGGGTGAGTTTTGTCAGGCTGAGGTGTGTTGCCTGATCCGGTGCTGGGCCTCCTGGTTTTCTGAATGAAAACACGCGGCTGCAGGTGACTCTGCAAAATGCAGCGGACTTGCACGAT